CTTGCATGTGTTCTCTACATATGTCTACTGATTACTGTTACTTGACTAGAACTTGTCCAGCTTCTCTCTGGACCTTTATGATAGATAATAGACATTTTAATCATGTTGTGCTCTTTCCTAATTAGAAAAATGCAAAGCGGCCGTGTCACCTGTGGACATGATACAGGCAGTCCAGCCAGGAGGGCTAATTTGGGCTTCTGCTAATTGCCACGGTAACGAGCCTCCTGCGCCTCTCATAATCTGCATCCCAAATGGCACCCTGTTCCCTATAGAGTGTACTACTTTTTGACCAGAGCCATATGAGCCCTATTGGCTCTGGTCAAAAGTAGTGCACTCTATAGGGAATAGGGTGCCATTTAGGACTATTCTCTCAGAGGGAGGAGGTGGCAAGGGATGGAGGGATGAAGACACAGCTCTCCTCACACACTGAGAGGTGTGAAAGAATGTGCCGGGCCAAGTGAACACAGCCTGCAGGAGTCCAGCAGCAGGAAGAGAGACGGGACAGGCTGCGCTGTGAAAAACTCAACGCCACCACCGCGAGGGAGAGGAATGGAGATTTAGATTTTTTATGTCAGTTTTAATCAACAACGTTGTAATTAAATGTATATGATATGACCCGACGTGGAAATGCAACAAATGAAGGGTAACACAGGTTGTTGTTGTAGTTTAGATTACATGATTTACAGAGGGATGAATTGGGGGTGAACTCAAATCTTTGGTAAACGCCATTGTTATTACATGTACAATGTGACACAAAACACAACATGGAAATGCAATAAAGTGTTGTTTTCTACCTTAGCTACTTCTTTTTTCCACAGAGGAAGGAGTTGTTGTTGAGACCAGGGGAAGTTATACATTTACATTTGAGTCATTTAGCAGACGCTCTTATCCAGAGCAACTTACAGGAGCAATTAGGGTTAAGTGCCTTGCTCAAGGGCACATTGACTGATTTTTCACCTAGTTGGCTCGGGGATTAGAACCAGCGACCTTTCGGTTACTGGCACATGCTCTTAACCACTAAGCTACCTTATAGCACCAGTTATTTACAGTTCATGTGACATATGGCATTGGGGAAAAAAATACAATAGCAAGAAATGAAATGTGTGCATCTGTAGCCTAATGAATATGGAGGTTATGCAAGTGTGAAAATGAAAGGGTTCATTTCAAATGTATGTTTCATGCAATTTAATCATAATTATTATATTTATTTTGGGAAACTGGGGATTCCCATTGGGCTTCTGAATGATTATTCAATCAATAATTTAATTAATTCAGGAAATGTACATTTCACATTTTTAATATTTATTTTTAACGTTTGTGTAATATAAATATAAAATAAAATGCAATCAATATGAAAAATACTGTACTGATACTGTATTTCAGTCTGTCAATGAAATAAAGCTAACTTTGCCTTATTTATTATTTATACACGTTTTTATCAAATAAATGTTTAAAATACGTAGGGGTTTTGCAGTCAGCAATACACCCTGTAAGCTTGGGGGCACCTTGTCCGTTTCTACGCTGCTCTCGCGGGCGAGCTCCTCTAGCGTGTGTGTGCGAGCGTGTCTGCTCTGCTGTTGCTGCCCTTTGATCCCTGCATTAGTGTTAGTTAGGCTCGGAGACACACTTACACAGAGAGCAGCCATAGTCAAGACACGGCAACAACAACAGCACCCTCCTCCTCCTCCTGTGGTCCTGTACCCAACAATACACTTTAAACCGCGAGGACAAGCCAGGTATACAGTCCCTGCCATCACTCTCGCCTACAATCTCAATGGGAAAAAACCTTTTTTCTTCTTATCCCTAAAACAAGGAGGAGAATGTGATAAAAAGGGGGAAAATGCCAAGGAGGAAGCAGGAGCAACCCAAACGCCTGCCTTCACGTAAGTCGTTTGCTGGTTTTGTGCAATTTTAATGGGTCTTCGTGTGTTTTGCGCAGTAGTTTAGGGTTAAAGAGGTGAAACAGACAAAGACACGGCGTAGGTTATTTCTCCTTTTTTAGGTCTGAGCTAGGCAGCCATGTTGTTGGCGATGAGTAACGTTAGCTAGCCAGCGAGTGCATAAACTGTACGTGGCTTTAATCGAGTATAATCGATAAAGGTCCCCTTTCCCCTAAAGGTTGCGGTCAGATAGCTTGTGTATCGGTTGTATATGGTATAATGTCTGAGCGTTTTCGTTTATCTGTCTGTGCGAGCGAGTCTCTTTCGGGGGAGAAAGGGGAGGATCTGAGAATCTGGCCGCAATAAAATGAAGGGTCAGTCGGATCAGACAAGCCAGACTCCGGGCTAACCATGCCTCAGTGTTCCTAGCAATAGCGCTATCTAACAACGCTCGGTAGCTAACTTCACATTTCTATTAATATAAACGTCTAACTTTCTCTCTCACCACTCAAAAACGGGTGTACTGGTTCCCTCCGTAGGCGCTCGCTCTGTTTTTACGTCGAGTTCTTGAAAGTCTGGATATATTTATTTTGAAGCGGAGGTATTTTCTTCCGCCCAGTTCAGCGAGGTTCATGTCTGTATGCAGGCTATGTCAAAGCCATGGTCGGTCACCTGAAGTTCAGTTTTTTTTCCTTCCCTTTGCAGCCATTCATTGCAGACAGACTACGATCAATAATGCGGGCTAGAGACGCGAAATGGCACTTTCCCCATTTCCCGTTATGTCGTTACTCCGAATGTACATCAGAATGTGCGATTTATGTATATATATATATATATATTGTTCATTTGACCCTGTGTAGCTTGGATGTTTAGATTGTGCTTTTATCAGTCCAGTAATGAAAAGCTGCAATGACACACCTCGGCCGCTAGAGGATGACTTCTAGGTAGAATGTGTGGATCAAATTATCAGAGGAATTGGCTTAGTGGCAATTTCCCCTGCTGTAGTGCAATGTACTGAAGACATGCATAAGAACACGGCTTAATGAGTTATATTGGTATGCAAATGTGATTAATCTCATAAATCAATGATGACTTAATGAATGTACCATAATGACACATATATTTTAAATGTCAAACAATGCAACCATTCAGCGCTATTACCAGCTGTGATCAAAATTGAATTTGTATACTTTGTTGTATAAAGTATACAACATTTGAATACAGTGCAGTAAATATCAAATTAGCATTTGCTGTGCCATAGTGTGAGCTATTCGTGTCCACTCTTTCCACGTGGGAGTATTTAGGCTACTACAAATGTCCACATATCCAGTCCCAGCGTCACCAAACATCCCCAAAATAAGACCATTCTCTCCTCATCCACTGATACAGCATTCAGGTGTTTGACCCAGAGTTGAACTTGGGAAATTGTGTAGGGGGGCTGGGTGAGAGAGAGAGCGCAGTAGTGAGATAGTGATATTTGGACAGTAAGCTCTCACTCACACGTTACTGACAGAGAATGTGCGTACCTACAAACGCGACTGGACAGAGCAGGTCATGCTCTGTAGCCTATACTGACACCAGTGGAGGCTGGTGGGAGGACCTATAGGAGGACGGGCTCATTGTAATGGCTGCAATGGAATAAATAATGGTCAAACGTTGTTTCCATGTGTTTGATGTGTTTGATACCGTTCCATTTATTCCATTACAGCCATTACAATGAACCCGTCCTCCTATAGCTCCTCCCACCAGCCTCCACTGACTGACACACCATACAGTACACTGGGCCTCCAACTATTTTGTTCTATTATATGGGTTAGGTCACGTGTCAAACTCATTCCACGGAGGGCCGAGTGTCTGCTTGTTGTCGCTCCTCCTTTGTACTTGATTGATGAATTAAGGTCACTGATTAGTAAGGATCTCCCCTCACCTGGTTGTCTAGGACTTAATTGAAAGGAAAAAACAAAAACCAGCAGCCATTAGGCCCTCCATGGAATGAGTTTGACACCCCTGGGCTAGGTAATGTAATATACATCATGTAATGGAACAAGACTGGACAGATAGCCTATTTTATGCATTCATTACAGGATTTCATATAATAACAAATTATTTACCTGATATGGATGAAATGACTACTTTTAGGTCTCCATCTATCCTTTCAATAAAATAAATCCCTTTCTCTTTAAGAAGTTGTGGCCAATATTTTACTTTCCCTCCATTCAATCACAAAACTGATACAGGACAAACTTTATTTATGTTATATAGGTTTTCCTCCCACACTGACTGGAAGTCAGTGCCACTTCACCTCATTGGCCGACTGTCTGTTTGTTTTCATTGTTCAACCAACAACACCTACACCGATTGGTCACTTGCCAGGAACAAGCACAATATTGAAGTTCAGATGTCTTCATCTGTACTGAGGCCCTGTGGTGAAAAGGGCACAATAACACACTGCCTTTAAACTGCTAAAGGTGCTTTATCTTAGCCCAGACACATGCAGGTCTAGATATTTGGGGCTGTGTACTCTGCTGTGTGCACTGTGCAGGCCAGGCATCACGCTGTGTATATTAGCATACATGGCGTGTGAGAGAGGACACACACGTACACACACTCACAAGCTGGCCATGGAGGTCACAGTACAGTACAGCGCCCTCACTCAGACAAGTAAACATGACCTTTGGCGCCACAATGAAAAGGGCCATTCTTTATGATTTTGGTACGTGCATGATTATGTATGTTTAATTCTATTGGCCGATTACTTACTGTAAATATTGACGCTAAAATTATCACTTTGATAAGGCATAGAGATTTTTAGATTTGTACGTTTTAAAAGTAGTACCCTTTTATTTACAAGTGTAGATCATGCTAGAGGTTGGTTTTGAAATATCGTCAACGCAAGCATCATTCTTTCAGGCACAGAGGTTTCTAGGTCATTGGTCATACTTATGTTATGTCACCAAATATTACTTCCAAAACCTCTCCCAACTGTTGATCATTTCGCAACCACTCTGAAGTAGCTTTAGGCTATAGGGCCTATCTCCTGAATAAATGTTGAAGTAGGCTTAAATCAAGATATGGATACGAATTGTAAGCTAAAAATATAAGAGAGAGAGAGACCCGATCATGAATGGCAAAAGGTCAGGGGCACTGGGAGAGCGAGAGAGGGAGACATTTTCTCCTCTCCCTGTCTCCTCTGCTGGTTCCTCAGGTTATCTGCATTTGAAATGGAGGGATTTTAGCCCCTGCCTCTACCGCCATTGACCGACCGAGTGCTCTTTTCCTTTCCTCCTCACCACCAGCCAATGGCTGGGTGGTTCTGTACCTTACTGTAATGGCGGGTCACTGGCGCCCTTCCACTTTCTATGATTATAATGACCTTGGCGGGGCCGGGGCTTGAAAACATTGGATTAAGGGGAAAGGAAAATGAGGGGAGGTTTCCATTTTGCTCTTGGCATCAAATTTGTGGGGAATTTTTTGCCAAGAATCCCCCTCCGCCACTTTCCACCCCCCACCACCTCTCAACTTGATGTGGCTCGGGCTCTCTCATGGACCGCGGTGTCGGCCGACTGGAGCTGAAGCGAATAATGATACACCGGCTTTCACTTAGAAATGAATTAAAGGGCAGGAGGAAGGTGGTGGGAAGCTTCCTTCAGCATACGCTTACATAGAGGGGAGTTTGAGACCCGCCGCGTTCAACACCATTCAGATTCAGTGGGTAGGCCTAAAACTGGGCCCATTCAGTCTCTCCATGACTTGATGGAGAATTGAATGGATTGTAATTGGGAGGCCGCTACAGCGGTTGATTTTAAATGAAAGTTGGTGGGGTAAGTTAACTTTATAATGGGCCTTGTTCCAGAGAAGCTTCTGGGGTTTGATCAATACACATTTGAAATGTGTTGTTGCTAGCTGCATCAAACAGGTAGGCTGGCTGACAATACCAAGGCCTACAGGTGTTGTTGTCAGGATTCCAATGGGCATCCACTAGGGTTGGGCGGTATCCAGATTTTCATACCGTCATACTGTTTCTGTACCAACCATTACTGAGTCAAAATATCTTTTTTTTAATGCACAAAACAATTTAAGCAACAGGGATCTTTATCCAGGAGGGCATTGAAGGTCTCTGTTGTAACCAATAAGCTTTATCTTGACATCTAGCCACTTAGTTAGCAAACCAAATGCATAGCTGGAGCCCTGAGCTGGATATAATTTATTTGACACAGCTTATATTTCTTATAGCTATACTGAACAAAAATATAAATGCAACATGGAACAATTTCTAAGGTTTTACTGAGTTACAGTTCATATAAGGAATACATTCATTAGGACCTAATCTATGGATTTCACACATGACTGGGCAGGGGTGCAGCCATGGGTGGGCCTTGAGGGGCATAGGCCCACCCAGTTGGCAGCCAGGCCCACCCACTGGGGAGCCAGGCCTAGCCAATCAGAATGAGTTTTTTTCAACAAAAGGGCTTTATTACAGACATAAATACTCCTCAGCACCCCTCCACCCGCCCTCAGATGATCCCACAGGTGAAGAAGCCGGAGGTGGAGGTCCTGGGCTGGTGTGGTTACACGTGATCTGTGGTTGTGAGGCTGGTTGGACGTACTGCCAAATTCTCTAAAACGATGTTGGAGGCAGCTTATGGTAGATAAATTAACATTAATCTGGCAACAGCTCTGGTGGATATTCCTGCAGTCAGCATGCCAATTGCACGCTCCCACAAAACTTGAGACATCTGTGGCATTGTGTTGTGTGACAAAACCGCACATTTTAAAGTGGCATTTTATTGCCCCCAGCACAAGGTGTACCTATGCAATGATCATGCTGTTTAATCAGCTTCTTGATATGCCACCTGTCAGGTGGATGGATTATCTTGGCAAAGGAAAAATGCTCACTAACAGGGATGTAAACAAATTTGTGCACAACATTTGAGAGAAAGAAGCATTTTGTGCATATGGAACATTTCTGGGATTTTTTTTTTTTCAGCTCATGAAGCATGGGACCAACATGTGAAATCCATAGATTAGGTCCTAATGAATATATTCCTTATATGAACTGTAACTCAGTAAAACCTTTGAAATTGTTCCATGTTGCGTTTTTATATTTTTGTTCAGCGTATATTTAACTTATCGTTATAAGAAGTGGCGTAGCATCCCCATCCCCGAAACATTTTAAATAAAATACAAAATATATATCTAATTTTATATGTTTTTACGGTATTGAAAATCATACGGCGGTATTTCAAAATACCTTAGTATACGGTATAAATGGTATATCGCTCAAGCCTAGCATCCACTGAGAATTTCCAATGCCCTGACTAATTACAAAAACGTGTCTGATAAGCAACTCGCTTCACAATAACTTCAGGGGGCTACTTGTGAGTAATTAACTCTGTTTTGGGCACACTTTTCATCAAGTGTCAAACTCACCAGAGGTGCTAAGCAGGTAATTTAATCTAGGATTTCTTCATGCCCAACAAAAGGGACTCAGGGAAGCATAATATGCAAATCTCCTAAAGTAATTATTTAGGGATGCCCATTGCCTTCCCCCATAATACTTATTCAGTTAGGCCTAATTAGAGAGGTTGCTTGACAAAGATCCAGGGATGACTTCCCCTCCTGATTGTCAGCCATGACACTTGATCTGGTCTCTCTCAAACGACATCTTCATTCATTTTGCATTGACCTAATTAACAGAACGAATGAACTGTCCACCATGTCCACTAGGAGGCCTAAAAATACATCACAAAAGTTACCAGCAATCTGTTCCACACAGTACCTACCTGGTCTCAATCAACCCCCAAACCCCCTCCCCCCTTCCTACTGCTCCGTGTGGAATGGAAGTGCATCAGCGTGCCTTAGCCTTGGTAACGATTTTCTCCGTGTTGACAAGCCACGACCGGGAGATGTACAGCTTTGGAGAGCAGCCCTTTGGCTACGGCGTAGCCCCGGCACTGAGTAATACCAATCTCACAGGAGTGGAGCACAGGCTCTCAGTTGGCCGCAGTTCATAAGGAACGGCGAACAGCTCGCTGGTGCAGCTGGGAAAGACCGAGGGAGGGGAAGAGAGAGGGAGAGTGTTGGAGGTGGTGGGGAAGCTGCTAAGAGCTCTGGGCGGTTTTCTCTGTTGTTGTACCACACAAGTGCATCTAGGGCCCTGCAGGACAGGGCTTTAACAGGCGTGAGGGATGGAGAGATATAGAGAACGAGAGAGAGGAGGGAGGTCTGGGGAGCAGGAAGCTCTAGTCGGCCAGTCGTGCCAGACTGCTGCCTCTGCTTCTAAACAGGGATGTGATTTATTATCGAGGCTCGTTTCACTCTTAAAAGAGAGATGGAAATTACATCGCAGAGAATTAGAGAGCGCCCCTAAATTGTCTCTGAGAAGAAAGCCATAGCTGTAGGCGTGGGGAGATTTTGGAGCATGTGGTACGCGTCTAACTGGTGCGTGAAATCAGAGGAGGGTTTTTTGCTTAGGTTGGCATAGATTTGTCTTTCCTTTGGTGGTGAGGAGGCCTTTTTAGTTTAGATAATGAATACTGATTCGGTCACTGCGTTTGATGGCCCTTGCCAAGGGGCCAGTCTTGGTTGCCCTTTAAAACCAAATAACTGTACTCCACTCTCTATGTTGCCAGGTTTGAAATACATGATCATTTTATGTAGCTCTACTGTCTTGATATATGTTGTTGTTAGGGGGGGCTTAAAATGGCTCTTGGCCAACACGCTGATCTTGTCGCCCTGACGGAGTGCACTCTAGCACGGCGGAGAGTGTGATGACCTCACTTCCTGTGTGGGTGGAAGAGAGGCCAGGAGGCCCCCACACTTGCCTGGCTCTTGTTAGCCTTTGGCAGCAGCAGCCAGGCAAACTCTGTCCTCTCTGGTCTGGAAGTCAGTACTAGGCTTGGGTGGTATCCAGATTTTCATACCTTTCTTCTGTCATCCTGGGATTTACGGTATAGCTCACAAGGGGACGCTAAAAACACAAAAAAGCCCATTGGGCATGTATTACCAGAATGCTAACAGAATTAGCACAAGTTATATCGAAATCACATAGACGCTGTTAGCTAAATGCTAACAAGCGAAAACGAACAAACTAATTGCAAAGACAAGCAAATCCAGCTCATAAAGTTATACAATCATAGCTATTAGCTACCAAATGTTGTTTTCGGTGAGTGTGGACATGTGAAACTGAACAAGAGAAATTGTGCAAATGAACAAAGTTGTGATGCATGCTTTTTTGAAGGAAGAGCAGCATGTGTACCTGGAGGAGAATGGGCTAGGAACATATTTCCTCCAACGTTATGTTGAAAAGGTGCCTCTCGGTCCCAAAACATAAGTTTTCTGGAGACTTGTGGGAGGAGTGCTGATGATTTCGCCCACTGTATGCGCCTTCGGTAGCCTGATTGCGTCCAGACTGAGGAGAAATCTGCACACAATGCAACACTGACCACTTCCTGAAGTGGTCAGCCAGATCTGAATACAATCAGACCACAAAGCGACTTTTGTGCATCTAGTCCTGTCTTTTCAATGCGATCTTCGTATTCTGATAGCAGAAGTCGCATGTAAGTGTCAAGTGTAGACATGACCAGAGACTCGCCGATAGATATAGACTCACCAGCTCCCACTTTCTCCCGTTGTGCTATTTACAAACACGTGACAGGCTGAACTGTTTCAAAATGTAAAATAATGTGACAGGTGAAATTAGGAACGCAGTGTGCTTTTTCTCCTAACGTATTACACAAGTTGACTGCAGGTATTAACTTAAAAAGTAGCTACAAATATTCACATTTATTTGAAAACTTTGTTGAAATCTTTTTGACTGTATGGAAAAAACATCCTGTGGCTTTTTCCAAATACCCAGGTATACGGTATATATGGTATACTGCCCAAGTCTAGTCAGTACCTCCTTCCACAACACTGTACTGTACAGTTACATTGAGCAGCGAAGAGCGAGGCTGCCACACTAATGCGTTTAACTAGCCAGGCTAACAGCTGTGTCTGGCTGCTTTGTGGTGGGCTTTGGGGCCTTGATGGGGGCAGTTTTATTGCCGGGGGAGATTCAAAGTGCCAGGAACGAACGAGGCAGGACAGAGGGACCGAGGCAGTCAGGCCAGGCAGATGCAGAGTAGTGGGACCACACGGTATATAAGGCTCTCAAGGGAAACAATATATCACATCCAGATAGAGAGAGAGAGGAAGCTTCTGGCTGTGTTACAACAAAGCACCACTCCAGCCCAGATAAGTTAAATTAATCGACGTGAAGTCATCTCTGTGAAAGCCATTGTCAGTGGCGGGCGGGACGAGTGGAGGTTATTTACGACGCTAAAACACAGGTGAGTACCTGACACTGATGATTCTGTGGCTGCCACGTGCGGAGAATGCCCTTCCATTTTGCACAATGCAGATGATGACTTTACGACGTCTTCTGAATGAATAGCTGTAACCTTGAGGTAGAGCTGCTCAGGTTCTCTAGCGTCATCCCATTGTTGTCTAAACAAGGGCATTATGGCATCTGATTAGTCCTCGTCACGGTAATGAGATAATTGCATTATTGGACATCTAGTACTAGACCAGTATTACTCATCATGATGCCTAAGACATTCTTATTAGCCAGATATAACTCATCATCAACAAAATGAAGATAAAATGCAAAAAAATAATCTGGAAATCAGGATAGCGTCTAAAAAACCTTTTGTTAAGTTGATAATGAGAAGGGTTTAGTTGGAGGAATCAGTCAGTGATTGCCTCTTTCTGTTCCTGGATTCCCAGTGTGTTCTCAATGGACAGTCAGTCAGTTGTTGGTTCAGATTGCTAGGGCTGCATTCCCAAATGCCACCCTATTCCCTACATGGTGCACTACTTTTGACCAGAGCCCTATGGGCCCAGGTCAAAAGTAGTGCACTATATAAGGAATAGGGCGCCATTTGGGACACAGCCTAGGTTATTAATCCCTGTACTCTACGGGGAGTGGTCAGCACCAGATGTATTGACACTTCCTACCAGAAGGTTTTCTAGATTAGCGGCAAATCCTCCCTGAAAAAACCTTATTTGGCACGCACAGCCAGACTTTGTGTTCGTCAACTCTGGGCCAAAGGAAGCATCCCAGCCATCCATCCCTCCTCTTGTTCCTATCCTCCTCTCTCCTTCTGGTCCTTTGGCCAGGAACCACCGCTTCCTTTTTTGGTGGGGATGTACATTTTTGTTGTTCTCATGTAGCATCTCTTGTGAGAGCCAGTGGATTGACCTTGATGACCCTCCCAGTCAGTGATGAGGTCTTCAGAAACAAGACATTTCCAACCCACTGTACCCGGAGGGCTTAAGTGATGGTTGTCATAGCGATCGTTATGCCACATAGAACAGCCTCTCTCACGGGTGAAAGACGATGACAAAGCTTTGAATGCGGCATCTTTCAGGTCACAACCTGGTTATGACGGAGGCAGACGGAACCAGAAAAGACTGGATGGATATGGTTGCGGTGCACACAAGACAAACAACAGACGTACATCAATGTCTGGTCTGTATAGATTTCAGGTTAGGAATTGAGATCGACATTATCTGCCACGCAGGCCATGTCTTTCATAGCTTGAGGAAAAAGCGAGATGGGTATTGGTGTGTGTTCCAAATGGCACCCTATTCCCTACATAGCCTACTGGCCCTGGCCAAAAGTAGTGCACTATGTATGGAATAGGGTGCCATTTGGGATGTAGCCTAGGTGTGACGGCGAGCAGCGGAGGGCGAACAATGCCTCTTCATTCCCACTGGCTGCCCTGGCCAGGCGTTTTAACATGGAGATTGGAAACAGAAACACCCCCCCCCCTTCCTCTCTTCCTCCCCTGGACCTGCATGCAAATGAAGGTTAGCCTCTCCTGCTGTGCCACTGCGATTCTTCCCTCTCTTTTTTCTCTCCTTTTTCTAATAGACGCAAACTGTCTCTGACTCCCCCCTCCTCCTCCTCTATTCCTAGGGAAGAGGAAGAAGGAACCGGGACCAATCCTGATTAGTGTCCCTGTCCTGAGTGACAGGCTCGAATCCAGGCAGGCACTGCCGCAGGCACCTCTGCCAAACTGCTGTCAACCCAATACCACCATAGAAAAAGCCATATTTTTTCCCCAATTCATTCGCCCCCCCAGGTCTCTATCTCTCGGCTCTTTGCTCCATGCTCACTCGCTCTCCCCAGCTCTCATACACACAGACACACATAGTCTCTCTCTTACACTGTCTCTTACACCCATAGTGTTGTCAGTAACACACATAGCTTTACTTTCTCACAACCACCCACCATCTCTTTCTCTCGCTCTCTTTCTCTTTCTCTCGCTCTCTCTTTCTCTCGCTCTCTCTTTCTCTCGCTCTCTCTCGCTCTCTCTTTCTCTCGCTCTCTCTTTCTCTCGCTCTCTTTCGCTCTCTCTCTCTGGGGGTGACTGGCTGCTGTAGTGTGACCGGTCGACCGTGTTCTTGTGCCAGTGGGCTCAATGTGATTTACACTGGCTGGCTGGAGGACCGCCCCCCTCCCCCTTGTGTCCCCTCTCCATCTCCCCCTGCCTCCCCTGTCTCATACAGTATGTCCCACCTCCCATACACACACACTGCGCTCTGCTCTCTCACTCCTCTCTGTGTCTAAGTGGGCAGCCTGCCCCTCAGTGTGTTTGCCAGAATGCTACGTACTAGTGGTGCTAGCTATGTTAGCGTCATTGTGCTACTTACAGTAAGCCCACCTCTTAGGGGTCATCACTAGTTACCACAGCCACAAAGTCCTAATTATGTCTAAACCCTGCCTATTTCTACAATTTATTTTCTTAAAATATGATTTTAAACCTAACCTTAACCACACTGCTAACCTTTAAGCCTAACCCAAACCTGAAATTAAGACCAAAAAGCAAATGTTTGTTTTCATGAAATGATATAGCCAATTTTGACATTATGGTAACTAGTGACAGCCACCTCTTAGTCTTGACGTCAGTCCTCCTGTTGTTTTACCATTCACAGGGTTGTATCTGTTCTGTTCTGGAACAGTGTTGTGTCATGACACCCATATCTACTACAGGAAGGTCTTGGCAAATTACCCCCAAAGTCATGTTGTTGATACCAAATTTATGGGATGGATGCTGGCAAGGTTCCCCTTCGGTAATTATTTATAGTCCTAAATTGTAGTGTGATGAAGTGTTCACATACTCTACATAGGAACTCTACAGCAATATCAAACTGTAGCCTAAATTTAGACTTTACTGTATTTTGGCACAGTGAGTGAACTGTGCTTAGGGCTGTTGTGGTGACCGTATTACCGCCACACCGGCAGTCATGAGTCATGACCGCAGTCAAATTCCACTCTGGACATGCTCACTAACGACCGTCAGGTTGCTAATGGCCTGGTACTCAGCGCTCTATTGTCCCTCTAATCACATTAAACACTATCATCAAAACAGTATCATGCTTTTGAAGAAAGAAGTTCAACAACTGGTTGAAACTGAGTGGAAAATATGGTCGTTGTGGATGTTGTTTTCAAAGCCAAACACAACTAAATGGACAGCGCTTTAAGTTGATGATTAATTCAAAACACCCATACGCATATTAAAGTTTATGAATATGCATAGGCCTATATATGGATACCATGAAATTGGGGAGAAAAAGGGGTAAAAAAATAAAATATATATATATATACAGTGGGGGGAAAAAAAGTATTTAGTCAGCCACCAATTGTGCAAGTTCTCCCACTTAAAAAGATGAGAGGCCTGTAATTTTCATCATAGGTACACGTCAACTATGACAGACAAATTGAGAATTTTTTTTCCAGAAAATCGCATTATAGGATTTTTAATGAATTTATTTGCATATTATGGTGGAAAATAAGTATTTGGTCACCTACAAACAAGCAAGATTTCTGGCTCTCACAGACCTGTAACTTCTTCTTTAAGAGGCTCCTCTGTCCTCCACTCGTTACCTGTATTAATGGCACCTGTTTGAACTTGTTATCAGTATAAAAGACACCTGTCCACAACCTCAAACAGTCACACTCCAAACTCCACTATGGCCAAGACCAAAGAGCTGTCAAAGGACACCAGAAACAAAATTGTAGACCTGCACCAGGCTGGGAAGACTGAATCTGCAATAGGTAAGCAGCTTGGTTTGAAGAAATCAACTGTGGGAGCAATTATTAGGAAATGGAAGACATACAAGACCACTGATAATCTCCCTCGATCTGGGGCTCCACGCAAGATCTCACCCCGTGGGGTCAAAATGATCCCAAGAACGGTGAGCAAAAATCCCAGAACCACACGGGGGGACCTAGTGAATGACCTGCAGAGAGCTGGGACCAAAGTAACAAAGCCTACCATCAGTAACCCACTACGCCGCCAGGGACTCAAATCCTGCAGTGCCAGACGTGTCCCCCTGCTTAAGCCAGTACATGTCCAGGCCCGTCTGAAGTTTGCTAGAGTGCATTTGGATGATCCAGAAGAGGATTGGGAGAATGTCATATGGTCAGATGAAACCAAAATAGAACTTTTTGGTAAAAACTCAACTCGTCGTGTTTGGAGGACAAAGAATGCTGAGTTGCATCCAAAGAACACCATACCTACTGTGAAGCATGGGGGTGGAAACATCATGCTTTGGGGCTGTTTTTCTGCAAAGGGATCAGGACGACTGATCCGTGTAAAGGAAAGAATGAATGGGGCCATGTATCGTGAGATTTTGAGTGAAAACCTCCTTCCATCAGCAAGGGCATTGAAGATGAAACGTGGCTGGGTCTTTCAGCATGACAATGATCCCAAACACACCGCCCGGGCAACGAAGGAGTGGCTTCGTAAGAAGCATTTCAAGGTCCTGGAGTGGCCTAGCCAGTCTCCAGATCTCAACCCAATAGAAAATCTTTGGAGGGAGTTGAAAGTCCGTGTTGCCCAGCGACAGCCCCAAAACATCACTGCTCTAGAGGAGATCTGCATGGAGGAATGGGCCAAAATACCAGCAACAGTGTGTGAAAACCTTGTGAAGACTTACAGAAAACGTTTGACCTGTGTCATTGCCAACAAAGGGTATATAACAAAGTATTGAGAAACTTTTGTTATTGACCAAATACTTATTTTCCACCATAATTAGCAAATAAATTCATAAGAAATCCTACAATGTGATATTCTGGATTTTTTTCTTCTCATTTTGTCTGTCGTAGTTGACGTGTACCTATGATGAAAATTACAGGCCTCATCTTTTTAAGTGGGAGAACATGCACAATTGGTGGCTTACTAAATACTTTTTTTCCCCACAGTGTGATAATATAGATATATATATATATATATATATATATAGATATATAGATATATATAGATATATTATATTAGTATATATTATAAACAAAATATTTTGGTTAATTGCAGATGTTATCGCAGGTGCAGTGTAAATGCTTGTGTTTTCTAGCACCAACAGTGTCGTATACCTATCAATAATAATCCAATAACAATGGACAAAAGGGTCCTATCTTGTCAGCCTTGTCAGTTTCAGTTCTCCAGTAAACTTGTGATTATCAACACTAACCTCATCGTTGTGGCGGCGGACAGCTAGCCTGTATCCCTCATCCAGTTGAGTGGGAATGTTCACTCTCCCCAAAGCAGACAATCTCAAACAGCTATCCATGTGGGTCTTTGACAGCTCATGTTTCTTAATCTTTCCTGAAAGATGGTGCATGTCCGTTACACACCAGTCGCTGTCCAAGCGGTGCTGTCTGCCGTGCCGCCTTCAGGGTGAAAGAGTAAGCAGGGGGTAGCAGAAGACTGCATTAGCTACATCGCAGCCTGCTAGCCAGGTTTTTCGTTCGTACCAATTTTTGGAAAATCCTCGGGTGTAGGACTTCCCCCCCTTTAGTAGAAACCTGTTGAATTATTAAATTTGGTCTGGGAGGTCCTAATTGTTTCGTTGCCAATTTATCTTCATTTGTTCGCCGACAAAAAGGAACTTCTTTCAAAGACACAATCGAGTTGCACTGAAGCCTAGCCATTTTGATAGTAGTAGTGAATTGATTGACGAGGCTACCCGCTCTTTTCTTAGTTACGTTCATGGTTATGTTACGTATGACGAAAGCGCGTAAGTGCAAGCCCTCAGAAACCCATAGAGATTGTATTGAAAGCTCTGATATTTGAAAAAAATAGATTTTACATGGGAGTCTATGACAGACTTCTGGGCGATTTTCAACCTGACTGAAATCGCCCCAAAAGGGGGGGGGGGCCATTTGAAGCACGACTTTAGCCTGATTGGACATTTAGTGGCACTGTGGCAGATCAGACGTCTAGATTACAACACTGATAACTACTGTTGCCGTGATATAATTGATTAGAAAAAAAATCCCTTCCTTTTCCCGTTTGGCAGTGCGTCGCCCATATCGCCCTATTGAACACACCGCCCCTGCCTAGTAATAATAATAATAATAATAATAATAATAGTAAAAGTAAAAAATACACACATAATCCAGAAAAAATCTAAATTAAGAAATACAAATACAGTGCATTCGGAAAGTATTCAGACCCAGATCCAAACGCCATGCGCTACCAACTGAGCTACACAGGACTAACTAAAGTTGCGAAATAACTCTAAATCTAGCATATAGGACCTATTTTAAATGATCATTTTTATGCTCAACATTGCCACTTCATATGCGCACTCACTCCGGAAGGTAGTGTGTGGTGTATATTAAATGGATTTATGAGACTTTTTTAAAATGTAGATGTTCCAAAGGCGCACATCAGCGGCTTGTATGGAGGCCTGGAGATGCTAAATGTGTTTATGGTAATTTAGGTCAATTACCGTGATACCGACATCATTTGCATGACAATAACCGTCTGACCAAATGTCATGACCTCCACAGCTCTAACTGTACTCCATTAGTCTACATAGCCTACATACATACTAGTATCTATGATTGGTGACATAGTGACATAATAATAATAATAGTGAGGATGCTAAGGGAATGTCGGTGTATTATTGACATTAATTCTTAGCACTGCGACATGGCTGTAATGAGACAGAATTATTCCCATTGATTTACATTTAAAAGCTAGTTGTCCGCCAACCTCTGCGAAATAGGCCTGTCTTTGTGGTGGTTGCCAAATCTGAAGCAACTTTGGACTGTAGGACACTGAAACTGTTGTTTTCACCTGAGTGTAGTAACCTAGGACTGGCCTATATCAAAATGGGCTATCTACCAAATATGCAAGTGGCATTAAAAGTATAGCCTAGTCAATGTAGCCTACCTGGGCTGGGTTTCAGAAAAGCATCGTAGCACTAAGATAATCTTTTGTCCATTTAGTTTCTTAGTGCTACGACGCTTTTGGGAAACCCAGCCCTGACCTCTTTTCAGTGGTTGTAGTTTCTATGACAACTGTATCCTATCAACTGTCCTTGTGACCTTTTCACTATTCTGAAAATAATGCAAATGTGGTATTAAGCGTCATAATGTATCCTCGTCTTATAGCTTCCACTGTTGTACTACTGCTACTTGTTATCGTTCACCATGGTAATGTTTAGGCTGAATCAGGGTATAAAAGTAACTTTTTGGTCCACCAGCCACTGTGGCAGGTAGATATAAAAAATCTACCAGCCACTCAGGTTTTTTACCAGCCAAAATATCCCCAAAATATATATTTTCTGTGACCCGAGTCACCAGAATATCACAGATGAGACAAAACATTTCACCTGTCCCTTTAAGGGCGGGAATAGGCTATATACTGTAGTTCTTTGACTTTGTACGATATTAATTTACCAGCTTTGAAACAAGACTGCAGAAATACTTTGAAAACAGCTACTGCAGCATTCATTTTACTCTAAATGTGATCATACATGACTGTTTTTATTCACAAATGCGAGTGAAATGCCCGCACTGTGGAGCCCTGACCACCCGCCAACGTGGCTGGTGAAATAGACATCTTACCCGTCAATGCCAAAATCTACCCGCATTTGGCAGGTGGCGGGTGTTAATTTTAGACCCTGGGCTGAATGGTAAATTAAGAAATAACCTGTTAATTGCAATTACAGGCACTCGGTGAGAACTGAGTAGCCTATTTCTGTAGTGAAAGTGTATGTGTGTGTGTCTCCCTGGCTGTAGTTTTTTTTGTGCTCTGTGAGGAGTTTTGACACATCTAAGATTATGGGCATGTGTTGTTTCTGTAACGTGAAACAAATCTACATTCTAAAAATGGACGGGAAAAATAAACGCGGTTGCAAAGGGCGCTCCATCTGTGCTGAGGAATTTCAGAGGTCTGGGGGCCTGGAGTCGACTCATTCTCTTCCAAGAACACTTCTCCTTCCTCTTTCACCTCTGGCACGAGGCCCGAAGTACCCACAAACTGCCGGGGCCAAGGCCAACAGTACACAGATGGTAATATGCTGCACTACATTTCAATTCGACGGACAGAACCGAACCACAGTCATTACTGTATAGCAGGGGTTGGCAACAGGCCAAAACCAGGCCGATTTTTTGGGGGGGGCTGTAAAATAGGCAGGAATTCCGCTAAATATTAGTTTAATTGAGGAAATCCGTTCCGAAGTATTCCCACATAGAAAAATACATATGTGATTGTGTCTGTAATCAAGGTATGAAATGATTTGTTATTTTCCAATACAATCTCTTTTTGGGATTAGTCGTGGTCAATTTGCAGTGTACAAATTATTATAATTATTTTCGGCCCCCTGACTATTCGCTACGACAATAATTGGCCTGTAGCTGAATTGAGTTGCTGTATAGTGGGTGTATATACAGTGGGGAGAACAAGTATTTGATACACTGCCGATTTTGCTGGTTTTCCTACTTACAAAGCATGTAGAGGTCTGTAATTTTTATCATAGGTACACTTCAACTGTGAGAGACGGAATCTAAAACAAAAATCCAGAAAATCACATTGTATGATTTGTAAGTAATTAATTTGCATTTTATTGCATGACATAAGTATTTGATACATCAGAAAAGCAGAACTTAATATTTGGTACAGACACCTTTGTTTGCAATTACAGAGATCATACGTTTCCTGTAGGTCTTGACCAGGTTTGCACACACTGCAGCAGGGATTTTGGCCCACTCCTCCATACAGACCTTCTCCAGATCCTTCAGGTTTCGGGGCTGTCGCTGGGCAATACAGACTTTCAGCTCCCTCCAAAGATTTTCTATTGGGTTCAGGTCTGGAGACTGGCTAGGCCACTCCAGGACCTTGAGATGCTTCTTACGGAGCCACTCCTTAGTTAACCTGGCTTTGTGTTTCGGGTCGTTGTCATGCTGGAAGACCCAGCCACGACCCATCTTCAATGCTCTTTCTGAGGGAAGGAGGTTGTTGGCCAAGATCTCGTGATACATGGCCCCATCCATCCTCCCCTCAATACGGTGCAGTCGTCCTGTCCCCTTTGCAGAAAGCATCCCCAAAGAATGATGTTTCCACCTCCATGCTTCACGGTTGGGATGGTGTTCTTAGGGTTGTACTCATCCTTCTTCTTCCTCCAAACACGGCGAGTGGAGTTTAGACCAAAAAGCTCTATTTTTGTCTTATCAGACCACATGACCTTTTCCCATTCCTCCTCTGGATCATCCAGATAGTCATTGGCAAACTTCAGACGGGCCTGGACATGCACTGGCTTGAGCAGGGGGACCTTGCGTGCGCTGCAGGATTTTAATCCATGACGGCGTAGTGTGTTACTAATGGTTTTCTTTGAGACTGTGGTCCCAGCTGTCTTCAGGTCATTGACCAGGTCCTGCCGTGTAGTTCTGGGCTGATCTCTCACCTTCCTCATGATCATTGATGCCCCACGAGGTGAGATCTTGCATGGAGCCCCAGACCGAGGGTGATTGACTGTCATCTTGAACTTCTTCAATTTTCTAATAATTGCACCAACAGTTGTTGCCTTCTCACCAAGCTGCTTGCCTATTGTCCTGTAGCCCATCCCAGCCTTGTGCAGGTGTACAATTTTATCCCTGATGTCCTTACACAGCTCTCTGGTCTTGGCCATTGTGGAGAGGTTGGAGTCTGTTTGATTGAGTGTGTGGACAGGTGTCTTTTTATATAGGTAACAAGTTCAAACAGGTGCAGTTAATACAGGTAATGAGTGGAGAACAGGAGGGCTTCTTAAAGAAAAACTAACAGGTCTGTGAGAGACGGAATTCTTACTGGTTGGTAGGTGATCAAATACTTAAGTCATGCAATAAAATGCAAATTAATTACTTAAAAATCATACAATGTGATTTTCTGGATTTTTGTTTTAGATTCCGTCTCTCACAGTTGAAGTGTACCTATGATAAAAATTACAGACCTCTACATGCTTTGTAAGTAGGAAAACCTGCAAAATCGGCAGTGTATCAAATACTTGTTCTCCCCACTGTAGCTTACGCTAGCAGCTACCCCCGGATGAGAGTGTGATCTAGGCCAGGGTTTCCCAAACTCGGTCCTGGGGCTCCCCCTGGGTGCATGTTTTGGTTTTTGCGCAAGCACTACACAGCCGATTTGAGATAATCTAAGCTTGATGATGAGTTGGTTATTTGAATCAGCTGTGTATTGCTAGGGCAAAAACCAAAACGTGCACCCAGGGCCGGCCCCAGGACAGAGTTTGGGAAACCCTGGTCTAGGCTAGCTCCTGAGCCACCATGAACGAAGGGTTTTCCAGTTTCCACTTCCCCCATGTTATCTATGTCAGAGACTGGAAACTGGAGTATCCATTTTGGCTCTGACATGGAAAAAGTTGATGGATGGGTTTGTGGTTTAAGAGTGGGTTATATACTGAGTTGTGTGTGGACATAAGCCTACTATAGGTGTGTAGATGATTTAGAGTGTGGGCTACTAGGCTACTTTCTAACTCGGGTTGTTAAAAGCACAGTTCTAGTTAAGTGCTGTATTTTTAAACTGGCAAATGCCTGGTGGTGCTCCCAGAACTCCAAAGGGCATGAACCCTTTTGAGTTTGCCCACACATCACCATCCCTATCCCTCTGAGCCTGGATCAGTGAGCTGTACTGAGAGCTGAATATCTCAGTCTTTATCTCTTTCAATCACTGATCTCAGACCAGTCTCTCACTCACAACATGGATCAAGTCCCCTTGGGCTCTGGTCAAATGGAGTGCACTATAAAAGCAGTGCACTATACAAGGAATAGGGTGCCATTTTGGACTCGACCTCAGAGAAACCCACGGGTGCATTACCGGTGTATGAACCTTGGAGTATTTATGACAAACAGCTGAATAGTCAGTCAGTGACATGGTGCCTTTTGTAAAGTGGGATGTATCGTGATAGATGCACTCCAACAATTATTTCACCCTTTTCCCCAAAAGAAAAGGAGGGAAAATGTCCACTTAACAGATTGATGTCCCGTATAAAGTCCTACGAAGGGGCTTTGAATTTACAACCGCCGGTTCCGGCACAACCAGCTGGTTATATTTAGTCTGTGTGGTTTTTTTTTCACTCGCTCTCACACACACACAAGCACACTGTCTTTTTCCAACAGGACAAACTGAGAGAGAGGGAAATACTGAGGAGAAGAGGAAGAGGGAGAGATCCTGACAGAGCAAGAGAAGGAAAAAAAGGAAGTCATCCTGTTGTTGAAGTTCCAATGAATGGAATTACCTTCCTCTCCGGGATGGAGCGCTAACTGTTAGTGGTTTACAGCGACGTGCGCCTGCTGGTGGATAGAGCTAGCTGGGGTCTCTCCCACCATATTGTCCGGCGGCGCACGCTAATAAGGCAGGAGCCCTGACCACAGGGCGCGCTCATTAGCATAGCCCGCGGACATGGCAACCCCCGCCAGGTCTCAGCATGGACACTTAATTACCGCCACAGTGCCTTCTCATTTCTACACTCCGCCTCCTCACTACACTCACCCCTCCTCCCTTGTAGTACACCCCTCTAATCTTCCCTCCACCCCCGGTTCCTCCTTCCCCCTCGTACAGTATACACCCCCTAACCCAGGCCAACAGCAGCCATCCACTCCGAGTCAAAGGAGAGCATGCTGGGATAGCCCAGGTGTGGCTAAAGCTGTGCTGGCTGTGTGGTGTGTTCCATTGCTGTGCTGGATTTAAATAGCCTGTCCGAGTGGTGGACTTGACTGTCACAGGTCTTGAACCCACCCCCTTCATATTCTACTTATGTCTCTGTCTCTCTTCTCCCATGTGTCTCTCTCTCTGTCTCTCTCTCTCTCTGTCTCTCTGTCTGTCTATCTGTCTGTCTGTCTCGCTCTGTCTGTCTGTCTCGCTCGCTCTGTCTCTCTCGCTCTGTCTACTGTAAAGCTTCTGGTCATGTCTCTCCTCTTGGCATTATAGTGGCACTATTGATGCTTCTACTCCAGACTTAATCGGCTAATGGCCTCCCTCCCTGTCTTCCTCCACTATTTGCCCCTTCCTCCCTCCTTCCACCCTAGCCCGGGCCTGGAGGTCAGCAGGGCCGTTTTGTATGCCCTGCTAAGTCACAGAATAGTTGCAGTGTGTCTGTCGGTAGCTAGGCGAAACCTCATGCAAGTCATGTGGTCTGGTGACCTACGGAACAACCCCCACCTCCTCCCCCAGCATCCCCCTCCGGCACAGGGATCATTGTGCCTGATGAGGCAGGCTGAAATCTGGTTGACTCCACTGTCTGGCTGCAGTGACTGCATGGGCCCAGCACAGTAACACCACTCCCCCAGACAGTCCGGAACAGCCACATCAGCCAAAATATAACCTGCCATCATGTTCAAACTCTGAGACAGTTGACATGGGGTTGCACTGTCTCGTCTTGTATACAATAAAATGAGGAATGAGCTGTGATGCACTTGTCCCTCTCTTTGACTTGTATACACTTCTTCCTCGAAACATCTCAAAATAGATAGCTTGACCTCTTCCTCACAACGTAAATAAACCCACTACACAGTCACATGAAGCAATGTTCCTCTTAGTTGGCAGTTACGTCATCAGCTTTGAACTTGAACCAGGAAGCAGTGTTGTGTTAGCTAACCCAGTAGCACAGACCGTAGCAGCAGTCTGTTCAGTCTCTCTCCCTGATATGTCGCTATACATCTCTGTCCTGGGGAGAATACACACACACACACTGTACAGCACACACAGTACAGCACACACATATACAGCAGCACTGAATCACCCGGTTGTGTGTGTAGTGTAGTGAGTGTGTGTGTGTAGTGTGGTGAGTGTTAACAGACCCGGACTGCTGAGTACCCTGCAGCTGTTTGTCTCAACATGCAAGTCATCCCCGCCATTACACCGCTAAATGGTTCTCTTTCACACTGAGGAAGGCAAACAGACAGATGCTCTCTGCTTCTCTCTCTCTCTCTCTCCTCTCTCTCTCTCTCTGCCGCTCTCTTCTCTCTCTGCCGCTCTCTCTCTCTCTCTGCCGCTCTCTCTCTCTCTCTGGCCGCTCTCTCTCTCTCTTTGCTCTTCCTCTCCTCTCTCTGTCTCTCTCTCTCTCTTGCCGCTTTCCTCTCTCCCCTCTCTGCCGTTTCTCTTTTCTCCTCTCTCGGCCGCTCTCCCTTCCCCTCCCCTCCCCGGGCCTCCCTCCCCTCTCTCTCCCCTCTTTCTCTCCCGCCCCCTTCTCTCTCCCCGCTCTCTCTTTTCTGCCGCCTTCTCTTTTCCTCCCGCGTTTTCTCTTTCTTTTCTGCCGTCTCCTCTCTTTTCTTTGGGGGCCTCTCTCCTCTCTCTTTTTTTTTCCCCCCGCTTTTCTCTCTTCTGCCTCTCTCTCTCTTTTTCTTGCCGTTCTTCTGGGCATTGCCGCTCTCTTTTCTCTCCTCCGCTTCTCTCTCTCTCTTCTTCTGCCGCTCTCTTTTCTTTTCTTCCCCGTTTCTTTTCCTCTCTTCTGCCGCTCTCTCTCTCTTCTCCCGCTCTCTCCTCTCTCTCTTTTTCTTTTTGGCATCTCTTGCCCCTCTCTCCTCTCTTCTCTCCTCTTCTGGCCCCCTCTCTCCTATCTCTTTCTCTCTCCCCCTCTTCCCTATCTTCCCCTATTTTTGGGTTTTTTTCCCCTGGTCTCTTCTTTTGTCTTCTTTCCTTGTTCTCTCTCTTTCCCTTTTGGGCCTTTTCTTTTTCTCTGCCCCTCTCCCCTTCTCTCTCTTTTGCCTCTCCTCTCTCTTTTCCCCTCTCTTTTCTTCCCTCTCGCTCCCCTTTCTCTTTTTGCCCGTCTCTCTCTCTCCGTCTCTCCTTTTGCCGCTCCCCTCTCTTTTGGGCCGCGCTCTCCCCTCTCTCTATCTTCCCTATCTTTTGGCTTCTCCTGGGCCCCCTTTTAGCACCCCTGTAAGTCTTTCATTTCGGGGGAAATTTATGTTTGCCCCCCCCAGCCCTTTGGGCTGTGTGTGTGTGTGTGGGGGTGTGGTGGGGGTGTAAAATAAAATTTTTATTTGAATGCTGTTTTAAACAACAGGTGTAGACTAAACAGTGAAAAAGGGTTTCTTAAGGGGCCCTTTCCCCTCAACACAAAAAGAAGGGGGAAAATATAAATATAATAACAGGAGGAATTAATAAACAATGAGTAATGATAACTTGGCTGGAGTCTTCTGACAACTTTTAGGGCCTTCCTCTGACACCGCCTGGTATCTGAAATTAGCCCACCCAACTACCTCATCCCCATATTGTTATTTATTTTGCTCATTTGCACCCCAGTATCTCTATTTGCACATCATCTCTTGCACATCTATCATTCCAGTGTTAATACTAATTGTAATTATTTTGCACTATGGCCTATTTATTGCCTTACCTCCATAACTTGCTACATTTGAACACACTGTATATATATTTTCTGTGGTATTTTTGACTTTATGTTTTGTTTTACCCCATATGTAACTCTGTGTTGTTGTTTTTATCGCACTGCTTTGCTTTATCTTGGCCAGGTCGCAGTTGTAAATGAGAACTTGTTCTCAACTGGCTTACCTGGTTAAATAAAGCCTGGGGAAATAAAATAATAATAGAGATGCAGCCAGTCAAGATGCTTTCAATGGTGCAGCTTTTATAAAATTTTTAGGATCTGAGGGCCCCTGCAAAATTTTTTCAGCCTTTTGAGGGGGGGGCCAAAGGGATTGTCGTGCCCATTTCCCGAACCCGGGTTTTTTTATGGGACCATGATAATTTAAAAGGAACATGAAGGTGTTGACTGCTCCACCCAAAGCACCCCTTATGTGGATGGGGGGGTTTTGGCCCCCATTTCCCCGTTTTCCCTCCCTGGGGTGTCTGTCCCGAGTCGGGGGGTTTTTTAAGCTTTTTTACCCGGACTGTGCCCAAAAAAACCCCCCCACTACCCGGTTTTGAGAGAAGTGCCCCCCCCCCCCCCCCCCCCCCCCCCCCCCCCCCCCCCCCCCCCCCCCCCCCCCACTACCAATGTACGGGAGAGGGCTGTTTCCCCCCCCCCAAAACCCCTGTTTTTGTAGAGACTGTGCCCCCCCCAAAACCACTGTACTGTAGAGACTGTGGGTCCCCAATAACCCCTGACGTAGAGACTGTGTCCCCCCCCAAAACCCCTTTTTTGGGGACTTGTAGGACTGTTTTCCCCCCCCAAAAACCCCCTGTACTGTAGAGGGCGTGTCCCCCCCAAAACCGTGTACTGTAGAGATGTTTTCCCCCCCAAAACCATGTACTGTAGAGGGCTGTGTCCCCCCCCCAAAACCCCCTGTACTGTAGAGACCCGTGTCCCCCCCCTACCACTTTTTTACGTAGAGACTGTGCCCCCCCAATACCCCCTGTTTCGGGAGAGACTGTTTCCCCCCCCAAAACCCCCTTACGTAGGACTGTGCCCCCCCCCCTTTCCACTGAAAAAGGTTTGAGGGGCGGCCCCCCCATACCACTGTACTTTAGGGACTGGGCCCCCCCTTTCCCCCGTACTGGAGAGAATTTTTTTCCCCCCCCCCCCCCCCCCCCCCCCCGTAAACCTTTTTAGAGATGGGTCCCCCCCCCAAACCATGACTGTAGAGATGGTCCCACCCAATACCAATTTTACTGTGAGAGACTGTGTCCCCCCAATACCACTGTACTGTAGAGACTGTGTCCCCCCCCATACCACTGTACGGTAGAGACTGTGCCCCCCCCATACCACTGTACTGTAGAGACTGTGCCCCCCCATACCACTGTACTGTAGAGACTGTGTGTCCCCCCCCCCAATACCACTGTACTGTAGACACTGTGCCCCCCCCCCCCAATACCACTGTACTGTAGAGACTGTGTCCCCCCCAATACCACTGTACTGTAGAGACTGTGTCCCCCCCCCAATACCACTGTACTGTAGAGACTGTCCCCCCCCCCCCCCAATACCCACTGACTGTAGAGACTGTGCCCCCCCCCAATACCACTGTGCTGTAGAGACTGTGTCCCCCCCCAATACCACTGTACTGTAGAGACTGTGCCCCCCCCAATACCACTGTACTGTAGAGACTGTGTCCCCCCCCCAATACCACTGTACTGTAGAGACTGTGTCCCCCCCCCCAATACCACTGTACGTAGAGACATCCCCCCACCAATACCACTGTACTGTAGAGACTGTGTCCCCCCCCAATACCACTGTACTGTAGAGACTGTGTCCCCCCCCAATACCACTGTACTGTAGAGACTGTGTCCCCCCCCAATACCACTGTACTGTAGAGACTATCCCCCCCAATACCACTGTACTGTAGAGACAGTAGGGGGGGCATCAAAGGGCAAGAGAGATGAAGGAGAGAAAGGGGAGGGTTCAAATTCATCCCCCTCTCTTTACCCCTCCATAATAATAATAATAATATGCCATTTAGCAGACGCTTTTATCCAAAGCGACTTACAATCATGCGTGCATACATTTTTTGTGTGTGGGGGGGTCCCGGGGATCGAACCCACTACCTTGGCGTTACAAGCGCCGTGCTCTACCAGCTGAGCTACAGAGGACCACACCCTCCACACCCTCCACTGTGTACTCCTGAGACCTCGGGTCAGCAATCTAGCCATTTCCCGCTAACGACGTTACAGCCATTAGGGCCTGGCTGCTTTCTTTCTGTAGCATGTCACATGGACACGGGTCATGCCACTGTACTGTAGAGACTATCCCCCCCAATACCACTGTACTGTAGAGACTATCCCCCCCCAATACCACTGTACTGTAGAGACTATCCCCCCCCAATACCACTGTACTGTAGAGACTATCCCCCCCCAATACCACTGTACTGTAGAGACTGTGACCCCCCCTAATACCACTGTACTGTAGAGACTGTGTCCCCCCCAATACCACTGTACTGTAGAGACTGTGTTCCCCCCAATACCACTGTACTGTAGAGACTGTGTGTCCCCCAATACCACTGTACTGTAGACTGTCCCCCCCACACTGTACTGTAGAGACTATCCCCCCAATACCACTGTACTGTAGAGACTGTGTCCCCCAATACCACTGTACTGTAGAGACTGTGTGTCCCCCAATACCACTGTACTGTAGACTGTCCCCCCCACACTGTACTGTAGAGACTGTCCCCCCCCCCTCCAATTACCACTTTATTGTAGAGACTGCGTCCCCCGTCCCCCCCCAATGCCACTGTACTCTAGAGACTGTGTCGTCGTCCCCCCCCCCCCCCCCCCCCCCCCCCCCCCCCCCCCCCCCCCCCCAATACCACTGTACTGTAGAGACTGGAAGGGGTGGTAGGAGGGGCTTTGGGTTGTTTTTAATCATATCCTCGGCTGTACAGTAATGTGTAGTCTTGGGCTAGTACAGTGTGTGTGTTGGTGCGCTTTTCTCACTGTACAGTGTGTGTACAGTCTAGTAAGTATGTGCGCGCTCACTGAGCCCATGACAAAGCCCCCCCTCCCCTCGGAGCCTGGGCCAGAGCCGTGACCTTGGGAAATGTCAGCCCGCCCACGGGGTGGCCCTGCCTGTGTCACACAAAGCCGTGGTGGCGGGGTGCGGCAGAGGGAGCGCTGTAGCGTTACGGCTAGCCTAGCGTCACTCGGCCTAGAGGTGTAGTGTTGCGTGGAGGAGCCTCGAGAGATCAACACTAAACCCACGAAGGAGAGCGAGAAAGATGGGGAGAGTTAGGGAAAAGAGAGGGGGAGGGCAGCAAAGGGCAAGAGATGAAGGGAGAGAGGGAGAAGGAGAGAAAGGGGAGGGTTCAAATTCATCCCCCTCTCTTTACCCCTCCACTGTGTACTCCTGAGACCTCGGGTCAGCAATCTAGCCATTTCCCGCTAACGACGTTACAGCCATTAGGGCCTGGCTGCGTTCTTTCTGGAGCATGTCACATGGACACGGGTCATGCCTCGCATACTTCTCCCCTCTGGCCCGGCTCAGGTGACTAAAAGCTTTCAGGGGGAGTGAACGGCAGCCTTGGAAAAACAGTAGGTCTTAGACCCGCTGACATTCTCTCTCACGCGCACGCTCTCGCTCTCTCTTTCTCTCCCTCTCTTTCTCTCTCTCTCCCTTTCTCCGCTTAATGGCGTCTTAGGAAATGTAAGGAGGTGAAGGAAGTCACACACAAAGGGTGCGCGCGCACACACACACAGGAACTGTGGAAAAAAAGAGCGGTCAGGTCTGTGGTGTCCTGTCCTCCTATAAGTGTACAACATCTTATTTTTCCTGCCCTAACCTCTGCCACAGAGTGTGTGTGTGTGTGTGTGTGTGTGTCCTGACTCCTGTGTGTGAGAGATGGAGTGTGTGCTAGTGTCCCAGTGTGGTGGGTAGACCTGTAGCTGTGCATGTGCACTCGGTTAGAGCGGTCGGGCCACGGTTGCGGTCACCTCTCTGGCCCATAGTCGGTGACGACCAGACCAGATGTGAGCTGACTCTAATGATCCCTGCGGGTCACCGGGCGGGGTTGCCGAGGCAACCGCTTTCCCCTCTGCCTGTAAACAGAGAAGCAACCCACGTGTTCTTATATAGGGTCGTCAGGGTGAAGACTAGCCTTGATGTGTGTGAGCGAGAGAGAAGAGAGCTCAAATGATGTTGTGTGTGGAGAGGAGAGATTGTGTATCAGTGTCATGGCTTCTTCTGACCTTTTTTTGTTGTTGTTCCCGCTCTCTGTTTTCTTCGGTTGATGCTCCATGGGTTAATTTTTAGTTGAAGCCTCTGTACTGTACTGGTGGGTGGTGGGTGGGGGGGTCAGTAAAGTTTTGACATTTTCTTCGCCCAGGCTTGTTGCTTTTTGACATATTTGTATGGAAAGGGGTTAATATGTATCAGGAATACTCACTTTCTTTTGTTCGCCCTTGTCTGGCAAGCTGTAATGTTTTGCTTATGAATATTGATACACCAAGTGTATATTAATGACCCTGGGTGACCTTAACCCTATCCTTATTGGCTCCCTGGTGGGATCTGCATCGTCATGAATATTCAACAGGCTCTGTAACCTCCATTACCCTAATCTTTGCTGTCTAGCCTCCCAGAAGGTCCTGTCGTCATGGTAACCCCATTACTAGACTCCTTAGGAAAAAAATTTGACCCTGGGAAAAAAAAATATGTTGAAAATAAAGGATTGAAAAATCATCTAAGTTATTTTATCCACCGTTGCTGGCGATTCTCAGTGCTGAGAGAAAGGCTTGGGGAAAGCTGGTGGATTTTGTTGCATTAAAGCTCCTTGGATTTTCAGTGTTATTATGATTTTCTTCAGTCATTGCCAAGGCAGTGAGTTACCCCTTGCTGAGAGCGCCGACGTCTATTTGGTATCTTTAATAGGCTGTTCCCTTTGTACTTAGCTGGTAAATGGAATTGAGAGTGCTCACTTGCGATAAGGAGATGTCAGAATGAGTATATAGTGTAGTAGTCTGGCTCACTTTGTAATCCAGGGGACAGGTGACTGCTGATTGTTGACTTACATCGTCAAACCTCAAGTCAAGGCTGTTCAATTCAATGCCTCCTAGATTGTCATTTAATGATGCACTCTCAAACCTTTGTATAATTTTTGCCAGTAGTTTTGAAATTGGTTCCACCAAAGGTGGTCCCCATTTTTTGTGTACTGCGTCATCAAATTGTGTACTACGTCGTCCATTTTGTATGATATGTTACGTCCTGCAATTTTATTGTAATTTGTTTTGTGCAATTTGTACCATATGTTACAAATGTATTGTGCTTAAGATCCTGGAGTTCATCTTTAATGACAAAATCTGGTCCTTTCCTGGGTAATGTTCATTAGGGAACACTGTAGCAAAACGTTGTAGAACAGAAAAAACTAAAACAAGTGTTCTCCTGAGTGGCGCAGTGGTCTAAGGCACTGCATCGCAGTGCTAACTGTGTCACTAGAGATCCTGGTTCGAATCCAGGCTCTGTCGCAGCCGGCCGCGACCGGGAGACTCATGGGCGGCGCACAATTCGCCCAGCGTCGTCCAGGGTAGGGGAGGGAATGGCCGGCAGGGATGTAGCTCAGTTGATAGAGCATGGCGTTTGCAACGCCAGGGTTGTGGGTTCGACGCCAGGGTTGTGGGTTCGATTCCCACGGGGGGCCAGTATAAAAAAATATGTATTCACTAACTGTAAGTCGCTCTGGATAAGAGCGTCTGCTAAATGACTAAAATGTAAAATGTAAAATGTTTTCATATTGGATAAGTTCAGGGAGCACCTCCCCGTTTCCCTCCGTTTATGACCCAATGAACATGACCCTGGTTTGTCCTCAGCTCTGGTCATGATGATCCCTTTCTCCCTGTTTCCATCTCAGTAAAACATCTCTCTTTTCCTCTCACCAAACTTTTCCCTAAACGTCTCATCTTCTTCTTCTCTTCTTCTCTCCTGTAGATGTGGACAGCGTCGAGGAGGGTGGGCCCGACGGGGGCTGCTGTCCCGTGGAGGAGGACGGCGGTGGTGGCTGGTACGGGAACGCCTCCGACACGCGCTCCGAGTCGTCGTACGGCGGCGACATCCATGACGACCATGAGCTGTTCCTCCGCGGGGGCTCCTCCCCCACCCCCTCCCCAGACCGACCTCCGGAACACCCCGACACGTCGACCGAGAGTTCCCTGGGGGGCTGCCCTACGCCTGTTCACAGCCACCACCACCACCACCACCACCGGGCCTCCCTGGAGCTCCTGAGCCTGGGGGTGGACGGAGGGGTGTTCTCTGCCCAGGATACCCTTTCCTCCGTGGTGTCCTCTCTCTATGGAGAGGCTGCCTCCGAGGCCCTGGGGAAACCCCTGAGCAGTAACCTGCGGCGTCTCCTAGAGGCTGGGTCATTGAAGCTGGATGGGGAACTTCTGGGGAGAGTGAGAGGTGGGGGAGGGGGAGGAGAGTCACCCCCTATAGGCTTAGCCCCAGCCCTGACCCTCTCCCCCTCCTCCCATCATGCTCAGCAGCTAAGTGCCCTCGCCCGAAAACTGGCGGCCAATAACAACAACAACAACAGTGGAGGCTCCGCCTCGGTCTCGCCTGCCTCTATTGCCATGTCGACCACCGCCATCAAGCAGGAGCCCTGCGACCCCTTCGCCTCGGTGGTCGCCCCGAGCAACGGCGCCGGCTTCGTGTGGGTGGGAGTGGCCGGCGACGGGAAGTGGCCCCCGGCGGGTTGTTCCGCCTCTGGCGGCGGGTCCAGCCTATCACCGGACTCCGCCATCCAGAAGCTGAAAGCGGCAGCCAACGCGGTTTTACAGGACAAGAACGCCACCGTAGCGGCCTCATCTACCTCCTCTTCCTCATCCTCTTGCTCCACAGTACCCACCCTGGGAGGAGGAGGGAGCCGGGGAGGAACGGACGACTCGGTACGCTTCGATGCCTTCACCTCCCCCTTCAGCCCTCAGTCGGCCAGCTCCACGCTAGCCGCCCTGTCCAAGAAGGTGAGCGAGCGCTCTCATACCTCCTCCACCTCCTCATCATCAGACCACCAACACCAACCCTCCCCCGGCTCCTCCTTCCTCTCCCTGGTCTCCATGACTTCCTCAGCTGCGCTCCTCAAGGAGGTGGCGGCCCGGGCGGCAGGGAACCTCCTTGCTGATAAGATGGAATCCCCGCTGGGGGCCCCAGCAGGAGGAGGGGCCCACCAGGAGGACATCAAGCCCCTGCTGGACAGGAACCAGAATGCAGGGACCCCCACAGGGCCCCAGAGCACCATGGACCTGCTGCTGCCCTCCACCCCCAAGGGAAGGGCCAAACCCAGCAGCCAAGCAGGTAGGCTAACCCACCCTGACCCTCCACATTTTCTTCCTGAGGTGGCATTTGTTGTCTATAAGCCTTATGGTGAGTTTTTGGATATACAGTAGCTAGCTACATTCAGATTTTTTGCAGTTTGGGAAATGTAATAGTGCGTTTATCAAGATATTATGTCAGCTACATTTTGTTGTCTTTGTGACAAGGTCAGAAACATTGGAACATTGTGACATACAAAGTGCCCCTATCCATCAATCCCAGAAGGTCTGTTTCTCTAGCAAGGTTTTATACAACAACGAACCGTTGTGGAAGACCTTCCCACCCCCAGGTTGAACAGAATAACAACAGTAGATTTTTTTCATTTCAATCAGTTATTTCACCTTGCATTTTTAAAGGTTGTTTGTCAGTACTAGTTTATTTCACCTTGCACATCCTGAACTGTCCTCTATAAAGAGATGTGATAGTTCATTGCCTCAGATATCAAATCCTCTTCAGCTTTTCAACTTGATTTGAAACCATCTTTTACAGATATTCTCCAAGCTTCTGCTTATTATATGGAATTAAAGCTAGTCGCTAAGCGAATGTCCTAATATGTTTAATCCCTTTATATTACACTATACAGTGGGGGAAAAAAAGTATTTAGTCAGCCACCAATTGTGCAAGTTCTCCCACTTAAAAAGATGAGATGGCCTGTAATTTTCATCATAGGTACACGTCAACTATGACAGACAAAATGAGGAGAAAAAATCCAGAAAATCACATTGTAGGATTTTTAATGAATTGATTTGCAAATGATGGTGGAAAATACGTATTTGGTCAATAACAAAAGTTTCTCAATACTTTGTTATAAACCCTTTGTTGGCAATGACACAGGTCAAACGTTTTCTGTAAGTCTTCACAAGGTTTTCACACACTGTTGCTGGTATTTTGGCCCATTCCTCCATGCAGATCTCCTCTAGAGCAGTGATGTTTTGGGGCTGTCGCTGGGCAACACGGACTTTCAACTCCCTCCAAAGATTTTCTATGGGGTTGAGATCTGGAGACTGGCTAGGCCACTCCAGGACCTTGAAATGCTTCTTACGAAGCCACTCCTTCGTTGCCCGGGCGGTGTGTTTGGGATCATTGTCATGCTGAAAGACCCAGCCACGTTTCATCTTCAATGCCCTTGCTGATGGAAGGAGGTTTTCACTCAAAATCTCACGATACATGGCCCCATTCATTCTTTCCTTTACACGGATCAGTCGTCCTGGTGCCTTTGCAGAAAAACAGCCCCAAAGCATGATGTTTCCACCCCCATGCTTCACAGTAGGTATGGTGTTCTTTGGATGCAACTCAGCATTCTTTGTCCTCCAAACACGACGAGTTGAGTTTTTACCAAAAAGTTATATTTTGGTTTCATCTGACCATATGACATTCTCCCAATCCTCTTCTGGATCATCCAAATGCACTCTCTCTAGCAAACTTCAGACGGGCCTGGACATGTACTGGCTTAAGCAGGGGGACACGTCTGGCACTGCAGGATTTGAGTCCCTGGCGGCGTAGTGTGTTACTGATGGTAGGCTTTGTTACTTTGGTCCCAGCTCTCTGCAGGTCATTCACTAGGTCCCCCCGTGTGGTTCTGGGATTTTTGCTCACCGTTCTTGTGATCATTTTGACCCCACGGGGTGAGATCTTGCGTGGAGCCCCAGATCGAGGGAGATTATCAGTGGTTTTGTATGTCTTCCATTTCCTAATAATTGCTCCCACAGTTGATTTCTTCAAACCAAGCTGCTTACCTATTGCAGATTCAGTCTTCCCAGCCTGGTGCAGGTCTACAATTTTGTTTCTGGTGTCCTTTGACAGCTCTTTGGTCTTGGCCATAGTTGGAGTTTGGAGTGTGACTGTTTGAGGTTGTGGACAGGTGTCTTTTATACTGATAACAAGTTCAAACAGGTGCCATTAATACAGGTAACGAGTGGAGGACAGAGGAGCCTCTTAAAGAAGAAGTTACAGGTCTGTGAGAGCCAGAAATCTTGCTTGTTTGTAGGTGACCAAATACTTATTTTCCACCATAATTTGCAAATAAATTCATTAAAAATCCTACAATGTGATTTTCCGGAATTTCTTTCTCTCAATTTGTCTGTCATAGTTGACGTGTACCTATGATGAAAATTACAGGCCTCTCATCTTTTTAAGTGGGAGAACTTGCACAATTGGTGGTTGACTAAATAATTTTTTCCCCCACTGTATAAGGACATACACATTTTATTTATTGTATTACGGATGCCCCACTTCACATAAACAAATTATAAATAAATTGAGCGTTTTTTAAAATGTATTTTATTAATAAGAAATTATTATTTTAAACTATTCTTTTTGACAACTTGAATGATTCGCGTCACAATTGTAGTGGTAGGGATTCGGTTCAATCGCGGTGAATCGAATCATGCGAATCAAAATAATAATTTGTGAACCGTGAACAGTAAAATAAAAAACGTAGTAGTCTTCCTTTTGGATTAAGTCGCTGAAAAACGTGTTTTGTAGATACTTTAAGTTGATTTGGACAGCTAGTCAGTAGTCATCTTGCAGTGAACTCTTCTAAGGTAAGATAAATGACTAAACTAGAATAGGTACATTTCCTGAAGAAAATGTGTGTGCTTGCTTCAGCTGTCAAAAATTTTTTTTTTATAGAAGTGGGAGTTGTTAAATGAAGAATTCAAGCTAAATAGAAGCTGAAGCAGTTCAATATAGTAAGAATAGGTCTGATTACTTTAGTTGAATGCTATATATTTCAGCTAGCACATCAATTATGAACAATTTGTAGGGTCCCCTGACTGGGACTCAAACCCTGGTCCCTGTGACTGTCATAATAAAATGGCTAAAATCTCTTGGTGAGGTCTCTAGGTTTGTATTTATTTTATTAATGTATTTTTTACATTTTTGCTCGCTCGCCCCACTTTGTAGAGAGCGAGAATCCCCTCCCCGTCTTGCCTGAGTCTGGGAAAAGGTTTGTGGGCCTGGCAGGGGGTCCAACCTAGACCGTTTGCCCTCGGATCTGCAGTCTGCCAAAGAGGGCCGGCAGTGTGTGCTCTCAGCACAGTAGGAACCGGGTGTCCATATCCATCTCTGTTCTGCAGACGCTTCTGGCTCCAACAACCTCCCTTTACCAGTCAACTCTGTACAGACTGGTGGAGGTTGGAGCCAGAGGAGTCTGCAGTCAGGGCCTTCTCCTCAGATCAGCATTCAGCAGATTCCCAGCCAAACACAATCCCATCAGAGTTTACACTGGGCAAGTGCAGAACAGACTATGGGAGGTGCACAGTACTACATAGAGCCATGGCTACATGGAACTCTATTCCACATCAGGTAACTGATGCAAGCAGTAGAATCAGATTTAAAAAACAGATATAAAGAAACCTTGTGGAACAGCAGGGACTGTGAAGAGACCCACACACACACAGACACACGCATACACATACTAACTCACTCACTCTGCACACACATACACATGGATTTTGTGTTGTAGATATGTGGTAGTAGAGTAGTGGCCTAAGGGCACACTTAATGTGTTGTGAAAAGTGTTATGAAATGTAATATTTGTAATTGTATATAACCGCCTTAATGTTGCTGGACCCCAGGAAGAGTAGCTAATGGGGATCCTTAATAAATACAAAATACAATACCCACACGCACGTACACACACACAACCCTCTCTCTCTCTCTCTCTCTCTCTCTCTCTCTCTCTCTCTCTCTCTCTCAAAATGAGCAGCCTTTAGGGAGAACAGTGGAGTGTGTTCCAGGTGAGATGGATGGGCACTTTTGAAGGATTGTGTCGTAACCCTTTAGCCGACTCTAAAATGGCTGGATCAAATTGACTTGAGACAGATGAGAGGGAGAGAGGCAGTCGATGTAATATTCTGTGATCTGCATGTTAAAAAGGGTTGTTGGCGGTAACCTGCAGCCGTCAAGGTCGCAGTGGAATGCTGTACAAATGCAGGTACTTGTCTGGTGGCCAGACTGAAAAAAACATGCCCTTGGTTATTGATTGTCCGGTTTTGTTATATTGCAGTTGGCTGGTCTGGTATGAAATTGTTACACATTTAGCCTATATTTAGTTTTACTAAATATTTCTTGATAATTGATCTTGATTACACTGGAGAGGAAAATAATACGCTGACGTACTGACCACTTAAAATAATACGCTATCTGACATACTCACCACTTAAAACAATACGCTATCTGACGTACTCACCACTTAAAATAATACGCTATCTGACGTACTGTCCACTTAAAATAATACGCTATCTGACGTACTCACCACGTAAAATAATACGCTATCTGACGTACTCACCACTTAAAATAATACGCTATCTGACGTACTCACCACTTAAAATAATACGCTATCTGACGTACTCACCACTTAAAATAATACGCTATCTGACGTACTCACTACTTAAAATAATACGCTATCTGACGTACTGTCCACTTAAAATAATACGCTATCTGACGTACTCACCACGTAAAATAATACGCTATCTGACGTACTCACCACTTAAAATTATACGCTTTCTGACGTACTCACCACTTAAAATAATACGCTATCTGACGTACTGACCACTTAAATGCTGCTCCATCTTTTTTCCTTCTCCAATGAGCAAGGAGTCCATGGTTATCTCCTCCCCTCTCCTCCTCCTCTCCCTCCCTCTACCTCTCCTCCTCCCCCACCACTTCTCTTCTCTCCCTCGCTCCAGTCTGTTGGGCCGCAGATGGCAGTTTATTGTTGCAAATAGGCAGTCTCGAGGTTTTACACCCGGGGTCAATGAATGGCTGAGCGCTGTAATTTCACCAAACACTGATTACCAGATGTTTTTCAAGGAACAGGAGCAGAATACTTATGAAGCCATCGATGACAGGCCCGTGGTGAATTTGTAATGCAATCATGGCGCATCCTAATAAGCCCAATTAAACGCCGTAATAGAGGCCGGATATGAAGCCAACAACAATAATCGAGATAATAAAACAGTACGTTTTACTTATTTTGTTCCCAGACAGGCAGCAAACGATGGCAGGCTTTGTCGAACGTTGAACGTTTTCAGCTTGAGGTGTCTGGAGGTCGTGTCTAACCTAGTAGTGGTGTGGTAATCGTAACAAAGTCAGTTGCACCTTAGAGAGGCTCCATAGTATGTAACTCTTCTCTGGAAAGGAAGGAATGGACGAGTGATGGGGGGAAAAAATCAATACAGTTACATATTTCAAAATTATGCCAAAACTAAGGTATTTTTCATCCTATAGCTTGTTCTCCATGTTCTTTTTAAATGGGGAGCCAAGATGTTTTCAGCACTTTTATTGTCCTGACTGATCAACACTCGTTTTCTCATGACTCTCTCTTGTCTCTCTGCAGCAGTGAGTAATATGTTTGGAACATCGCAATAATATCACAGTATGAAATCGCAATACACATAGAATCGTGAGAATCGCAATACATATCGTATCAGCACCTATCGTATCGTGAAGTCCCAGGCAATTCCCAGCCCTAGAAATGGACTTGTTCCAATACTTCAGAAATGCATCCTTCACCTTCCTAGCTTCCTTCTTTTTCTTCCTTGAAGTAATCACAGATCTGACATGGGCTGGATTGGTGAAAGCTACAAAGTGGAAACCTTACTTACACCTTACCAATCACTTATAGATCGGATAGGTGTACTGACATCATGCAAACGAGGAAGGAATGATGCGTTGCTTAAGTATTCATTCAGGGCACTGGATGTACTAAATGACATGTGTTTTTACTGAGCTGCCCTTCTTGGCCAGGTATCCCTTGGTAAATAATTATTCTGACCTCACTGGAACTTCCTGGTTAAATAAATAAATGTCTCATCCCCTCTTTTTCCTCTACTCTCCCAGGTTCCCCGGGGGAGGACGGAGGGAAACCATTCCAGTGTCCGGTGTGTGGCCTGGTCATCAAGAGGAAGAGCTACTGGAAGAGACACATGGTGATCCACACCGGCCTGAAGAGTCACCAGTGTCCCCTGTGCCCCTTCCGCTGCGCCCGCAAAGACAATCTCAAGTCCCACATGAAGGTGAGATGGTGGGAGCCTGTGATGACTCCTTTGACCTTTGACCTGTAACCTCGTAGTGTTATCCATCCCCTGAGGTCATAATAGGAGTGGAAGTGCTGCTAATGCTACTAATTGCTGAAAGGGAGGGAGGTGCCTCTAGTCAGTCACCTCTAGTGTAGTGGGTAACATGCCTCAAATGATACTGTAGTTAGTAGACTAAAACCAGAAGGGGTTTTAACAAGACCGAGAAGCTCCAGGTGTTGAGGGAATCCTTATTGTTTTACGCTCTTATTTAATCTCTTTTACTCATTTTATTTCAATTATTTATTTGCATAGGGACAGATACAATTAGCCTAAAACATTGACACACATTGAATGTACAACAGTCAGATGCATTGCTCCATTGTACCTTACGCAAATGTTCAGTGCTTGTCCCCAGGTGAGCATCATTGCTTTGACTGTTGTTGCAGTGACAATGCGCAGGTACCCCCCCCCCCCCCCCCCACTCATCCTATCCCTGTATCCCAGGTCCACCAGCATCAGGACCGGGGCGAGACGTTCCAGTGCGAACTTTGCCCTTTCACCTCCTCGCGACACTTCAGCCTCAAGCTCCACATGCGCTGCCACCAGCACTTCCCCCGCTCCGGGTCTGCCTCCGACGGGGTCAAGGTCAAGGAAGAGGCCACCACGGACACGGAGGGCGAGGGGTCACTCATGGGTGACTACAACCCCGGGGAGTCCCCTCTCCAGTCGGACGCAGGGAACCAGAGCTCCCCTGGAGTCTCCAGCCACCACGTCTTTATAAAAGAAGAGCCCCAGGAGAGGGAGCTGTCGGTGCTTTCGCCCTTCACTCTCTGCAGGGACAGGGAGAGGGAGCGTCCTGGTAGTAGTGGCAACTCCCTGGACCTCTCTATGGGGGGAGTCGGCTTGGGGGTGGGGGTTCGGTCCAGTCCTGGTGGAGGTCCAACGGCGGCGTCCCTCTTCAGCCCGGACATCACCACCAAGACAGCCACCGACCTGCTCATGAAGCTCTCAGGTAACCATGACAACAACACCCATCTAATGGACACCCAATCCAACACCTATTCATCACTGACGAGATTTCACAAAAGGTTTATATAAACGTTAGACTGGTGGTCAACTTTTGATGGCCATTTCAGGACTTTTGAGCATCTTAGCATATTTCTTAGGGTTTCATCATGAATGTTAATGCACTTCAACTCATCCATCCAATAACCCCAACACTCCCTTTGCCTCTCCAATAACCTCATCAACAACAAACATGCTATCGTTAGCTATAATAACACTAGGTATCATATCAGGTTTGTTGAGATGCATTCCACCGTGTTGTGACTGTCAAAGGATCAGTTACTTTGAGACAATGGCTGAAGATTGATGGGGAAAAGTGTGCCCAGGGTTGGGTGGCAAGGTCGGGGTTGAGGCTGCCACTCTAACTCCTAATGCCATTTAATTAAATTGAGATCTCCTGAATGAGGGGATGCGAAGGGAGGAGAGGGAGGAGGGGGGGGGGGAACCCTCGGAACATTAGATTAATTAAAAATGTATGCATAATTCATAATTTGAAATGATTAGCACCCTTAACTTCTGCTCTGTGACCCTGGCTAGGATGCGGTGTGCGATGTGCGTCGTGGAGAGACTGGGCAGGTTTAGTTAACCCCTCCCCCTCCAGTTCGGCTCCGTGCCGGTGCCCCCCGGGTGCCAGTCGCACTTCACTCCCAGACTTCGCAATCAAGCCAGGAAAGTCCCAGAGGAGAGAGAGCCAAGATGGCTTCTTCTCTCACAATGTCAGCCCAGTGTAGTGGCGGACGGTTGGCGGACATCTTAGTTCAAGGGCGGCGTCATTCATGCAGTACCAGAGAGAATGTCACACTTTTTTTTTAAGGAGAGGATAGAAGTGGACTTGAGTGATGATTGAATGAACAATGATGTTTTAATAGAATACTAGTCCTTTTGATTACCGAGGGCTTTCATGATCATCTCTGTAGCGCGGTTGGTAAAAAAGAGAGGGGGGGGGGGGTTGGACCCAAAGCTTTACTCAGATCTTTTGCACTCTTAGCTGGGCCATATAGCAGACAGGGAGGGGAGAGAGGAGGCGAAAGGGATGGGGGAGAGGGGTACAGCTTCTTCTCAGGGGAACCTCGAGACTCTTTCTTTTGACCTCCCTGCCAAGCGCGATTGAGTGTGTACACGCGGCAGCTCATCGCTCCTGATTTACCACTGCTGTCACAGTGCCTGTCTCAATCCCACAAGGGCTGGAAGAGAGAGGGGGCGAGGGGGTGGAGGATGGAGAGAAGGGCTGAAAGGGAGAGGGGGTGGAGGATGGAGAGAGAGGGCTGGAGGGGGAGGAGGAGGAGGGCTGAGAGAGGGGGAGGGGGTGAGGATGGAGAGGGCTGTAAGAGAGGGTGGGGAGGAGGAGAGAGGAGAGGGAGAAAGGGAGGGTGGAGAGGATGGATGGAGAGAGGGCGAGAGAGAGGGTGATCTTGTGGGAGAGGGGGTAAAGAGTGGGAGGGGTGGAGATGGAGAGAAGGGCTGTTAGGGAGAGGGGGGGAAGGAGAGACGTGGGGTGGAGAGAGGCTGGGAGGGGGGGTGGGGGGTGGAGAGAGGGGCTGGGGGGGGGTGATGGCGGTAAGGGGTGAGAGGGAGGGGGTTGGAGAGGGGGAGAGGTGTAGGGAGAGGGGTTGAGGATGGAGAAGGGCTAAAGGGAGAGGGGGTGGAATGGAGAGAGGGAGGGGGGGGGAGAGGGCTGAAGAGAGGATGGAGGAGGGAAGGGGATGGAGAGGGAAAGGGCTGTAAGGAGAGAGGGTGGGAGGATGAGGGTAGGAGGGGTAGAGGGGGGGGGTTGTAAGAGGAGGGGAGGGGGTGGAGGATGGAGAGAAGGGGTTGTAAGAGAGAGGGGGGTGGAGGATGGAGGAGAAGGGCTGTAAGGAGGGAGGGGGGGGGGAAGGGAGGGGGGTAAGAGAGAGGGGAGAGGGGGGGGTGGAGGATGGAGAGAAGGGCTGTAAGAGAGGGGGAGAGGGGGTGGAGGAGGGAGAGAGAAGGGTGAAAGGGAGAGGGGTTGGAGGATGGAGAGAAGGGGTGGGAGAGGGGGGTGGGGATGGTAGAGAGCTGGGGAAGAGGGGGGGTGGAGGATGGAGATGAAGGGGTGTTAAGAGAGAGAGGGGGTGGAGGATGGAGAGAAGGGGTGTAAGAGAGGGAGAGGGGGTGGAGGATGGAGAGAAGAGGTGTAAGAGGGAGGTGGTGGAGGATGGAGAGAGGGGGAGAGGGTGTAGGGGAGAGGGGCTGGAGGATGGAGAGGGGCTGTAAGAGAGGGGGGAGAGGGGCTGGAGGATGGAGAGAGGCTATAAGAGAGAGGGGGAGAGGGGCTGTAAGAGAGGGGGGAGAGGGGCTGGAGGATGGAGAGAGGCTGTAAGAGAGAGGGGGGAGAGGGGCTGGATGATGGAGAGAGGCTATAAGAGAGAGGGGGGAGAGGGGCTGGATGATGGAGAGAGGCTATAAGAGAGAGGGGGAGAGGGGATGGAGGAAGGGGGTGGATAAAAAGACAGGGAGAGATAAAATAAATAGCTAGATAAAGTGACAGACAGACAGCAAGGGAGAGAGAAGGAGAGGGAGGAAAAAAAGAGTTCCATCTGACTGAGTTCCCCAGGCATAAAGAAGCCAGTGAACTCTTTCTGACCTCTGACCCTGCTTCTCCTCTGGGTGTTACGACCAATCCCCTTTGATTTCTCCCCTGCACAGCAACGCTGACACAACCGACAGCCTACCCAGTGTGATCCTCCACATTCTGATTTGAGAGATGAAAGATGAAAGTCCGCGGAGGTACTTTGAAATGTGTGGATGGTGTCCGGTTAGGACGCTACTCGCAGGACCCCTCAGACGGGTAATAATGGCAGTCCCCGCTGCGACCCCGTTTGGCGGGGACAGCGAGCGTGACCCCGGGCTGGGTGTGAATAATTGGCACGCCGCTGAAGCAGGGGCTTGTGGGAGGAAGTGTCGTTGGTGCTGAGGGTGTCTTATTCATCTCAGAATAGAGAGAGAGAGAAAGAAAGAGAGAAAGCGTTGGATGCAGTGTTTGATGCAGTTGAAGGAGTATCTAAGTGATGTAGTGTGTCTGTGTGTGTTTGCCTGTGTGCGAGTGTGCTTTTGCGTTCACACATTTTATACCCAACCAATATGTCTACGTAATATACTATAAGATATCCAGTCACCTGTTCTCTCATTCAAATACTATTTAAGGTTCATCTGACAACACCTGTCTGGGTGGACAGACACAGAATGTTACAACCCGTTCTCAATGTCTTCTCAGCTCGACCACTAGACATGAACACAGTCGGTCAGCCAGCCAATACCTCTCAAATGTGAACTCTGGTCCATCCTCACTGCTGTCAGCCGTCAGTATCTACACTACACTGTCCAGCCCAGTACACACACTGTCAGCTATTGTTGCTGCCCTCCACTCCACCTGCCTGCCCATTGTCTGTGTGTTTCAGTGCGTCTGTCTATCTTTGTGTCCACCAGCCCCAGTGTGTATGTGCCCCTGTCCGTGTGTGTGTGAGTGTGTGTGTGTGTGTGTGTGTGTGCAGCCACCTCTTCCTCCTCTTCTCCTGGAGAAAACAGGAGCCAATTGTTAGTGGGGGAGCAGGCCAGCGTGACAGAGGTGGAAAGCTAATGAAGTTATTTGACGGCCGGCCCGGCCATGGAGCGAGAGGTGAGGTGCATTGGACAAGCGTCTGGCAGAGAGACGGATGAGGCGAGAGGAAGGAAGCGTGGCTGGAGAGGAGAGAGACAATAGTAGAGAGAGGGAAGAGAGGAGAGGAGAGGAGAGGGAGGAGAGAGGAGGAGAGGAGGAGAGGAGAGGAGAGGAGAGGAGAGGAGAGGAGAGGAGAGGAGAGGAGAGGAGAGGAGAGGGGGGGGAGAGGGAGGAGAAGAGGAGAGGGAGGAGAGGAGGGAGAGAGAGGAGGAGGGAGGGAGAGGGGGAGAGAGGAGGAGAGGAGAGGAGGAGGAGAGGAGAGGAGAGGAGAGGAGAGGAGAGGAGGAGGAGAGGAGAGGAGAGGAGAGGAGAGCGAGGGGGGGAAAAGAAACGGCAGGTAGAGGGAGGAGAAAAAGGGACAAAAGTAGAATGAGAAAGCCAGACAGAGAGTCTGAGGTGGAGCGTGAAAAAGAGAGAGGGAGAGCAGTGTCCGGCTGGCTGGCTGGTGGCATGTCAGCAGGCCGTGATAACACAGAGACAGGCTGATAGCACCATCACCCCTGGGCCACAGACAGACAGAGACAGGATGAACCCTAGTGTACTACTACTACTAAACCCGATGGGAAAGCTGCCACTGAACCGCTACATTGGAGGCAGGCAAAGATGGATAGTCACTTCTCGGCCAGAGGCAGTATAACTGCTATACACGACACGAGGCTGCCACGGATCAGATGCCCCCACCGATACATTGGCGGCAGGGATGGTATACATATTCATTCACACAGGCCAGGAAGAAATCTCTACTACACACGGGTGCCCCCGCCTGCTACACTGGCGGCAGAGATGGTATACATATTCTTTCACTCAGACCAGGCCAGCCAGAAAGCTTCTCATCACATCACCCAGAGATGGCTGTTGGTTATTTCCTCAACTCTGACCGATACACCGATTTGCATTTGGGGGAAGGGGGAAGTTGGCGTGCTACAGAGAGTTAAAGCGTGTGCATAGTCAAAGTACTGTAATTCGACTTCTGTCATTTTCTTTGGGTGAAATAAACCTAAGCACAGCGCACCACTATCATGAATGACAGCTTAAACTATGGTGGTTGGTACTAGTAGTAGTAGCAGTAGTAGTAGTGGTAGTAGTGGATGCAGTAGTAGTAGTACTAGTAGTAGGAGCAGTAGTAGTTGTGGATGCAGTAGTAGTAGTAGTAGAAGAGCGTGGCGCAGTTGGTAAGAGCGTGGCGCAGTTGGTAAGAGCGTGGCGCAGTTGGTAAGAGCGTGGCGCAGTTGGTAAGAGCGTGGCGCAGTTGGTAAGAGTGTGGCGCTAGCAATGTCAGAGTCATGGGTTTGATTGCCGCAGGGAAAAAGCATCTGCTAAATGGAATAGTTACGGTACGCTACACTTGTGCGTTTTTTGTGTTACTCCACTTCCCGACTGGATAAATAAAAACATCCTCAGATTAGGCTACTAAATAATTGAGTGGTCTCCGTAACTCAGATTGGGAGAGTTGAAATACGCTGCTATTTATAGGGCCCAGCAGAAAGGTCACTGGAGTGGAGGGACTTTTGTGTGTGTAAGCACCGCGTCCACGGCGTCTTGAGGGTTGTGTTTGTTCCGGTGGAGTACGGTCAGGGTGGGGGTGTGAAAGTGCAAGTCGTCTGCAATAGAGTTGGCGTGTATGTAGGCCTCGCCAGGGCCACAGTGAAGCCTGCTGTCCCTGTTTGATCCAACATGGCCTGAACACACTCTTAATTAGAGGACGTCCTTCCAGGTGCTGACCAGGTTATACTTAGCCTGTCCGCTGACATCCGACACACACACAAACACACACTCCACCACCGAGCCTGCCCGCTGACATCTGACAGTGTGACATTTCCAGCTGGTGGTGCTGCCGCGACCCCTAACCCCTTACGTGAAGGTCACTGTCCCCCCTTTGCAGGCCTCCCACTAGGCCTCATGCACCCCCTCCGCCCCCCCTACTACCAGCCAGGCTGGTGGAGGGTACTGTGGTGTGTGTGGCACAGCATGGGCGGTCTAGGTCTAGCAGGTCCACCCACAGGGTGCTTCTGTCAGTGTGGCTCCTGTCCTCTCGTACCTGAGCGCTCTGTCCCCCTCTGTCCCTCCGCCGTGCATCATCATTAATCAGATGGCCGGAGCTGACGCAGATTTATGACACGGGCGGGGGGGGTGGCCCCGCGGCAGGCCTGTGGCGGCCGGAGATGTTAGGTGTGATGGGAGGGTGAGGAGCAGGGGAGCTGATCTATGCTGGGGCCGGAGGAAACTGGACAGCCGTCGACCCAAAAGTGATAACCGACCCTAAGGTGTGTGTGTGAGAGGAGAGAGACAGCAGTGAGATATGGAGGAGAGTAAGAGAACCATTGGCCACAAAGCATTGAGGCACCGTTGGCCCCTGTGTTTTCTTGGCGGCGATCAGAAGTTGCTCCATGTCTAATTATTAATTATTCATCTAAGGCGGGATTAGATGTGACCCAGTTTCCCTACAAACACACACACACACACACCTAGGTGTATCTACACTCTGTAGATACAATTTAGTATCATCATCTGTGTATTAGCAAGCCTACCTTTGACTGTAGCATGTAGGTCTGTAACTCAATGGCTTTTTGGTGTGTGTGTGTGTGAGAGAGAGAGATGTAGAGAAAGAGAACAGGAGGATTTGGTTAGAGATGCCCTGCGGACCTGGACAGAGTGAGAGAGTCAGTCATTAGGTCCTACCATCTGTGCTGGCCCACTGTGCCCCAGGATCCTAGGATTCACTGTTCACTGCTGGTCCAGACCAGGGACTTTCAGCTCTCTCTCAAAATAACAGACCGCTTACGAAACCTACTGTCATCCTCAATTTGATTTGTTCTCTCTCTCTCACACAGTGTGTGTGTGTGTGGTGTGTATGACTATGTTCCTGTGTGGTTTGAGGTACAAAATAAGAAGACAGAAGACTGTAGAATGCAGACACACGACCACGTGCTGTACCATGTGACCAGCGCTATGTTATTGCTGGGTTTATGTGATCAACTGCCACATGGAGAAAACCCCAGTTGAACCCTGCTCTTCTGCCACAGTCCACACTGTATCATTCCACAGATAGTTGAGGATCTCTCACAAACAACCCTCTTCAAACCCTCTATCTATCTTCCCTCTCGTTTCTCTTGACCCTCACCTCTCTCACCAATATGGCTTTTCCCCACCCTCCTTCCCCTCTCTCCTCTTTCATTTGTCCATGTGACCCCTCTCACTCTCACCTTTCCTCCTCTCTATCCTCTAACCTTCTATCTCTCTCTCTCTCTCTCTCTCTCTCTCTCTCTCTCTCTCTCTCTCTCTCTCTCTCTCTCTCCTCTCTCTCCTCTCTGTCTTCCTGTCTCTGTCCTCTGTCTCTCCTCTGTCTCTCCGTCTCTGTCTCTCTACACATCTCTCTGTCTCTCCTCTCTCTGTCTCTCTCTCTCTCTCTCTCTCTCGTCTCTCTCTCTCGTCTCTCTCTCTCTCTGTCTCTCTCTTCTCTGTCTCTCTCTCTGTCTCTCTGTGTAGCGGCCAACCAGAAGGAAGCCCTGAAGGCTCCACAGTCCTTCCATCTGAAGCAGGAACCCCGGACCGAGGAGGAAGAGGTACGAAGGAGCCCCAGGAGCCAGCCCAGCTACTCCTCCTTCTACCAGGAGCATGGCGCGGCGCTGGGGGGCACGGGGCCAGCAGAGGTCACAGCAGACAGTGGGGGCCACAGGGGCCCCCTGAAGGGACGGGAGGGAAGCCCCATGGGGAACAAGAACAGTCTCCTCAGCCAGGACATCAACTTCAAGGTGGCGTCTGAGCTGCTGATGAAGCTGTCAGGTAAGGTAATGGGCTGTGTGGGTGGGTGAGGAGGTAGTGCGTGCGTTCATTCATTGGTGTTTCTCTATATAGGATAGTGCAAGTTGAGATTGGATTGAATTCAAATGAGCTCCACAAACCTTAACTTGACCTATGTACTGACACGGCGTGCAAGTCTTTTTAATCTCTACTCAGTGAGCTAATAAAGAATTCACCCATGTTGATCTGGAGATTGCAGAGAAAGGGTCGTCCTCAATCTATTCTGCTATTGATGGGGTCAACGTTGTACAGTTACAGTGCCTTAAATCAGCCAATAGTAATTCATCAGTGGAGAGGTCAAAGTTGACCCAGGTCACTGCCATATAAGGACATGTGTAAAAGCATTGTATCTTTAGTCTATGACTCACCATAGAAAAGTAAAATGGAAGAGTTGTCAAAGGTGAGGTACAGGTGAAAACCATTGTACTGTGAAATGTTTATCTCTTTCACTGAGACCCAACACTCTATATTTTGGCTCCAAAGCCTTTGTGTTCTCCCATGGCAATATCCAGGTCAAAGTCCTCTCTCGACCCCTCCATTTTCTTTCTCCATCTCTTTATCTTTCTCTCCCTCCTGCGTATTCCTCTCCACTTCCATCTCTCTGTTTTTCTTTCTTTCTCTCTCTTTCCCTCCTGCCTTCTCCTCCAAGTTTTTGGGGTGGAAGATGGGTAGAAGGGTCAATTATTTTTCATGTTGTTCAGTCAATATCCTTTTCCCATCCTGTGGTCCCCCGTCCGAAACAAACCAATCGATGGCTGCTGGGTCCATCTCCAACGGTGCGCTACAGTGAACCTCAAACCTGTCCCCCTCTCACCCTCACCCCTCTCTCTGAAAACAGAGATGATGGAACCAAAGAAAGACTAGAAAGAACACCCTGTCCTAAACCGTCTTCTAGTTTGACCATGTTTTCTGTGATTACTGCTGCAGTACAGGTTATGTCATACCATACGAGAGCCCCCTCTCACCCTCGACTATATGAAAAAGAACACCCTGTCCTAAACCGTGTGCTAGATTTAGCATGTTTCATGTTATTCGCTGCTCCGTAATTACAGTAGGCAATTACAGCGTGTTATAACGAAGGTATAACCTATCTGCTTGTTTTAGCTTCAGCTGAATGGACGGTCAAGTGTGTGGCACAGATCAAGTGTGTGTGTTGGGCATGTGTTTGTCCACAGTGTGAGAGCTGAGTGTCTCTCCGCTAATCAAGTGTCTAATTGGTTCTAGTGTGTCTGTGTGTAGCTTGTAGGTTGTGTGTGCTTTAGGTGTTGTGTTGGTTGTGGGTGGGTGGGTGTGTGTGTGTGTGTGTGTGATCTCTTGTTTATGTGTATTTCCATGCTCCGAGGGAACAGTACTGTGTGTGTGTGTATTTGTGCGTCGTATTTCCATGCTCCGAGGGAACAGTACTGTGTGTGTGTATTTGTGCGTCCGTGTATTTGCTGCTGGGTGTGTGGTGTTACACAAAAGTTGGTAACAGTACAGTGATCTCTCAGCTCCATCCATCCCTGGCCTCTCATCTCATCCTGTACCAGCGTGTGTTTGATGGACACCTCACACACCAGCTGCCATTGTTCTGTTCTCTGGTTCTCTCTGGGTCGCCCAGTGTTCACAGTGAGTCATAGTCACTGCCTGGGAGCGCTGTTACACTACACTACATTACACTATACACCACACACACACTATACACTACACTACATTAGACTATACACCACACACACACACACACACACTACACTACACGTGTGCAGCTCTGGTGTGTGTGTGTGTGTGTGTGCGTGCTTGACAGAGATGGTGAGTGTGTACGAGAGAGGGAGTGAGAGAGCGAGTGGAAGAGAGAGGAGGTGGGAAGTCTCTGAGTGATTCCTCCACTGTACTGCTGCTTGTCCTTTGTTCTGTTTCCCCACCTCTGGGCTGACATGCTCACCACACCACCACATCCTCCTTTAGCCTCCGCTAGCCTTCAGAGCCGAAGCCATTAGCCTGATAGCTTGTCAGTGTAGTTAACATTGGCCAGTTAGCCTGTTAGCCTTTGTCATTTAGCAGCATGCGCCTAGAAAAATGAAGGATTCTAGCTTGAATACTTCAAATCTCTTTCATTGTGCTCCTAAATCCCCCCCCCCGGAGCTTAGTAGAGACAGTAGTGCCGTCATCCATCGTCATGACAACAGCAGCGGGGTCATCTAAGGGAGAGCGGGAGTAGGAGAAACGGTTGTCTGGTGTGATGGCTGTGACAGTGAGTCTGGCCCCTCAGTCGGACGGCCTTGAGGTTAGAGAGAGGAACGGGGGAGGGTCAACTCCGTATGAGTCATCTGCGTCACACGGCCACAAGGTTCCAAGGACGTCTACTCCGTCACCTCTGACCCCTTGCCGAGGTCAACAAGGAGGTCAACTCCGGCGCAGAGAGGCGTGCTGTTGGCTGAAAGAAAGTCACATGGGTGTGATTGAGCACAGATTGAAAAACACTGGAGATCTTACAATAGATAGGGACAATAGATTGGTTAAATCGATTGTTACCAGAGAGGCTCCACCTTAAACCCACTAATATCGAATAGGCTAGATGTAATTAAATTACCAGACTAGTTCATTTTCAGTTGACCAAGGCAACCATCAGGAGAGCTAGGAGGACTGTCATCGAAACTGGCCATTGTACTGTAGTGTGTTGCATCACTGCTTTAACTAGGTCACTTCTGTTTTTCGCGCTCTCTCTCTCTCGCTCCTTATCAAATGACGGTGGTGGCGGTAGCGGCCTCTCTCCACCCCCCACATCTGTTTTAAAACATGCTGTTAGCACGGTTAGCGTCTAGGGGCTAATTACAGTAGGGCTAAACAGTCCCCTGCGCTGCTGGCTAACGCCTGCTAGTGCCTGTTAGCAGATGGGTACTGGTATAGAGGGTACAGAAGGACATCAGGGGACCGGGAGGAGGGGGTGGGGGGGGTACAGTGCCCGAAGTGATACTTAGTGTCCCAGGCCGGCAGAGTGTGGTGATGTCCCTGCCACCCACTGTCCCTGATTCCATCTCCCCTTCTCACCCTACCATGGGTGTGAAATCACACCCTTCTTCTAGCAGTGAGCCTATTTCCGTCCCAATATAACCCCCTCCGTTTCGTCTTCCGTCGCCCCCAACGCCGAAGGTCATTACCTTGCTAATTAAGACGAGTGTACCTGACATGGCGTCCCAGTTAGGGGTGTGTGGTTAAAGTGATGTGGGCTGTAGTAGAACCTGAAGGCGTCTTGTCAAAGAGATTGGTCTGAGAGTTGAACTAGAGGATACACCCTATCACACACACATACAGTGGGTAAAAAAAGTATTTAGTCAGCCACCAATTGTGCAAGTTCTCCAACTTAAAAAGATGAGAGAGGCCTGTAATTGTCATCATAGGTACACGTCAACTATGACAGACAAAATTAGAAGAAAAAAAATCCAGAAAATCACATTGTAGGATTTTTTTATGAATTTATTTGCAAATTATGGTGGAAAATAAGTATTTGGTCAATAACAAAAGTTTCTCAATACTTTGTTATATACCCTTTGTTGGCAATGACACAGGTCAAACGTTTTCTGTAAGTCTTCACAAGGTTTTCACACACTGTTGCTGGTATTTTGGCCCATTCCTCCATGCAGATCTTTCCTAGAGCAGTGATGTTTTGGGGCTGTCGCTGGGCAACACGGACTTTCAACTCCCTCCAAAGATTTTCTATGGGGTTGAGATCTGGAGACTGGCTAGGCCACTCCAGGACTTTGAAATGCTTCTTACGAAGCCACTCCTTCGTTGCCCGGTCGGTGTGTTTGGGATCATTGTCATGCTGAAAGACCCAGCCACGTTTCATCTTCAATGCCCTTGCTGATGGAAGGAGGTTTTCACTCAAAATCTCATGATACATGGCCCCATTCATTCTTTCCTTTACACGGATCAGTTCTATTTTGGTTTCATCTGACCATATGACATTCTCCCAATCCTCTTCTGGATCATCCAAATGCACTCTAGCAAACCTCAGACGGGCCTGGACATGTACTGGCTTAAGCAGGGGAACACGTCTGGCACTGCAGGATTTGAATCCCTGGCGGCGTAGTGTGTTACTGATGGTAGGCTTTGTTACTTTGGTCCCAGCTCTCTGCAGGTCATTCACTAGGTCCCCCCGTGTGGTTCTGGGATTTTTGCTCACCGTTCTTGTGATCATTTTGACCCCACGGGGTGAGATCTTGCGTGGAGCCCCAGATCGAGGGAGATTATCAGTGGTCTTGTATGTCTTCCATTTCCTAATAATTGCTCCCACAGTTGATTTCTTCAAACCAAGCTGCTTACCTATTGCAGATTCAGTCTTCCCAGCCTGGTGCAGGTCTACAATTTGGTGCCATTAATACAGGTAACGAGTGGAGGACAGAGGAGCCTCTTAAAGAATAAGTTACAGGTCTGTGAGAGCCAGAAATCTTGCTTGTTTGTAGGTGACCAAATACTTATTTTCCACCATAATCTGCAAATAAATTCATTAAAAATCATACAATGTGATTTTCTGGAGAGAAAAAAATCTCAATTTGTCTGTCATAGTTGACGTGTACCTATGATGAAAATTACAGGCCACTCTCATCTTTTTAAGTGGGAGAACTTGCACAATAGGTGGCTGACTAAATACTTTTTTCCCCCACTGTATACAGATCAGAATATTTAAAAGATTGTGGCATATCAAGAAGCTGATTTAAACAGCATGATCATTACACAGGTGCACCTTGTGCTGGGGACAATAAAAGGCCACTCCTAAATATATATATATTTTTCACATAACACAATGCCATAGATGTCTCAAGTTGAGGGCGCATGCAATTGGCATGCTGACTGTAGGAATGTCCACCAGAGCTGTTGCCAGAGAATTGAATGCCCAGAGCCAGGCAAGAGCAGAGTGGTCGTTTTAGAGAATTTGGCAGTACGTCCAACCGGCCTCCCAACCGCAGACCACGCCAGCCCAGGACTTCCACATCCGGCTGCTTCACCATCGTCTTAGACCAGCCACCCAGACAGCTGATGAAACTGAGGAGTATTACTGTCTATAATAAACCCCTTTTGTGGGGAAAAAC